AAAATGAAAAGTGAGAGAAGGGTGGAAGTTGGAAGCAAAATTATTTAATATTTTTCAGTTCCAGACAAGCAGAAAGCTGCACAGATATTGTTATTGATGTACTGAGAAAAGACTGTGGCAGCAAGGAATGTTCCACAAACTCCACAAAAGAACAGACGTAGCTATGGGGTAACAAGGTGTAGAGCTGGATGAACACATCAGGCCAAGCAGAGGAGCAAGAAAGCTGACGTTTCGGGTCGAGACCCTTCTTCAGAAATGGGGGAGGGGAAGGGGATTCTGAAATAAATAGGGAGAGGGGGAGGCGGATAGAAGATGGATAAAGGAGAAGATAGGTGGAGAGGAGACAGACAGGTCAAAGCGGCGGGGTTGGAGCCAGTAAAGGTGAGTGTAGGTGGGGAGTTAGGGAGGGGAATAGGTCGGTCCAGGGAGGACGGACAGGGTCAAGGAGGCGGGATGAGGCTAGTGGGTAGGAGATGGGGGTAGTGCTTGAGGTGGGAGGAATGGTTAGGGAGGCGGGGACGAGCTAGGCTGGTTTTGGGATGCGTTCGGGGGAGGGGAAATTTTGAAGTTTGTGAAGTCCACATTGATACCCTTGGGCTGCAGGGTTCCCAAGCGAAATACGAGATGCTGTTCCTGCAACCTTCGGGTGGCATCATCGTGGCACTGCAGGAGGCCCAGGATGGACATGTCGTCCAAGGAGTGGGAGGGGGAGTTGAAATGGTTCGCGACTGGGAGGTGCAGTTGTTTGTTGCAAACCGAGCGTAGGTGTTCCACAAAGCGATCCCCAAGCCTCTGCTTGGTTTCCCCGAGGAGGCCACAACGGGAACAGCGATTACAGTATACCACATTAGCAGATGTGCAGGTGATCATCTGTTTGATGTGGAAGGTCTTCTCAGGGCCTGGGTTGGGGGTGAGGGAGGAGGTGTAGGGGCAGGTGTAGCACTTCCTGCGGTTGCAGGGAAAAGTGCCAGGGCTGGTGGGGCTGGTGGGGAGTATGGAGCAGACAAGGGAGTCACGGAGAGAGTGCTCCATCCGGAAAGCAGATAAGGGTGGGGAGGGAAAGATGTCTTTGGTGGTGGGGTCGGATTGCAGATGGTGGAAGTGTCGGAGGATGATGCGTTGGATCATAGCTATGGTCTGTGCAAGTACTCCATGTCTTTTATGGAGGGCATGCAGGATCTGGAGGTGTGCAGCTTTCTGTAAGTTGTTGGAGCTCACTTTCCTTAACACCTGATGGGAGTACTGTCCAGGTTCACACACTTGAAATGGAAATTAAAGAGAAGAATGACCAATGCCCACGGACCCTTACCTTGAATACTTCACTGAAATCTTCATATCATTTGTGAACTTCAGTATTAATTCTGTTCTTCCTGTTCCACGGGGCGCCCCGGTGGCTCAGTGGTTAGCACTGCTGCCTCACAGCGCCAGGGGCCCGGGTTCGATTCCACCCTCAGGCAACTGTCTGTGTGGAGTTTGTACATTCTCTCCATGTCTGCGTGGGTTTCCCCCGGGTGCTCCGGTTTCCTCCCACAGTCCAAAGATGTGCAGGCTAGGTGGATTGGCCGTGCTAAATTGCCTGTAGTGTTCAGGGGTGTGCAGAGTAGGTGGGTTATAGGGTAATAGGTCTGGGTGGGATGCTCTGTGGTTTGGCGTGGATTTGTTGGGCCAAAGGGCCTGTTTCCACACTGTAGGGATTCTATGAATTCCATGTGCTGAAAAGTGACAGTTAACAAGAGGGTGAAATGCTCATTGATTTTCTTTGTTTCCCTCCCATTGCAAGAGGAGTGAAGGTGTATTGTGCCATTAATGTAACATCTTGGTGAAACCTGCTGGACTGAGAGATTCAGTTCTACATTCCAATATTTTTTCCAAATGAGTCATAGGGAATTTCCTTTAGGACATTTTTTATGTCAATTTTTGTTGTGGTCACAAAAAGAATTGAAAAGACGAAATAAAACAATCAATTTTGGAAATGATTGGTACTGTTTGAAATGACTGGTACTGAACTACAGAATTGTTCTCGTGCAGGAGAAGGCCATTCAGCCCATTGTGCCTGCACCAGCTGTTCAAATGAGCAACATTACCAGTGTCAATCTCCTGTTTCTTGCCCATGTCTTTGCACGTTATTCGCATCCAAACAATCATCCATTTGAATGCCTCAATTGAACCTACCTCCACCACATTTCCAGGTAATGCATTGCATATCCTGACTGCTGGCCATATGAATAAGTTTTTTTTCTCTCATCACCCTGGCTACTGGTCTGAACTGAAGTTCCATCTTTAGATATGCAAGACCAGTTTGGACGTGTACCTGTTATTTCTGAGTTCTACTCGTTTTTACAGAGATGCACATTTGCACATCTGCTAAAAATAAACATTCATTTCACCATTTGGAGCTTAATGTGGACCCAGATTCCAATTGTGAATTGTCAATTAGGCACATTTAGCAAATGGAACATGGAACATGGAATCTGGCTAAATCAGAGGGAAGAGCAAAGATGAGACTTCAGCACGGTGGTGATGATTCAGTGTGGAGCATGGATCTGTATTCAAATCCTCTAAAGGGTAGGATAGATTTTCAGAAGTGCATTAAATACTGTGCAGTCTTATGTGAATGACAAATAAATCTTTGCATTGCAGCCCAGAGAGGAATCAGTAAAGGATAGAAAATCACAGTGGAACCACAAGATAACTGTACAACCTTCAGAGAACATTACTGTAACATGCCTAGCCACAAATGCTCATGGACAGGATCAAGATACAGTGAATCTAACTGCCAGTGAGTACACAACATTTTACAAAATAAGGAGCGACAATTTAGAGAACACATTACTAGCCTACTAAAAATATCGCTGCAATGGTTTTGATATTCAGCAATAGATTCCATTTGTACTATGAAAATGTTTCTGAGTCTTTTGTGAATAACTTTCAATCATTTAAAGGACAGGGCCCACCCACATTTCACATATTTCAGTGTTCACAAGCACAGCTTTCTTTTCCATGTACTGCGTGTTGAAAAATGATTTGAGTGTTGTACAGTTGAAGAAGAACACCATGAGGTGTTGAAGTGTCTGGGAGATGTGCCAGGACAGCACCCACCTTGGATTCAATATTTTGATTAATGGAGAATTTTCCATTACTATTTGGATCCAGGCAGCAGCTGTTGATTAAAATCAAAAAGCTACAGAATGCAAGAAGTTTTTTGTTACCTGATACATGACCTTTTCATCCTCACATGCTGTCTCTGTATTGCTACGTCTCTTACCTGATTGGTCTATATTGGTAAGGATAAGAAATTCCTAAATTTTTCCTGTTCTTATTAAACTTGTAGTTTCCACATTGCATTGAAGTTAAAACTTAGCATAATGTCTCTTTCTTTCTACACACACAAACACACCTACAATCTACAAGCTAGATTGTAGTACCAACTGACTGTTGCTACTTGATTTTTCTCTGACATTTCACAACTGTGACTTCTTGCTTTCAGTTTAGTTCACAGTAAAAACAAGGTGACAAAAACATCAATTGAAGTACAATGATAAGCTTGCTATCTTCTCACTGAAAGGTAGAACCATTTATTCTGTGCTAGTGATAAGTGAAGGCACAATTGCACCTCAGAAGGCTGCAATTGACTTCACTGTTCCATATTCTTGCTTGGATCCACTGTCCAGATGGTGCTGCAGAAAGAACAAACACATTGCAATGAGTTGTTTCTCTTCTTTAACAATTGCTTTTCACATTCAGTGGTTGGAATGGATGATGTTCTGGAGTCATTTGCATTGCATGATTTCATTTTCTAAATTATTTGAAGGCTCAGAGTTGTTAGATCACATGGGATTCAGGAAGAGCTTGGAGGCAAAATTGGCTTGATGGTAGGAGACGGAGGGTGGTGGAGAGTTGTTTTTCAGCCTGGAGGCCTGTGAGCATCAGAGTTCTGCAGGGATCAGTGCTAGGTCCACTGTCGTTTGTCATTTGTATAAATGATTTGGATGAGAATATAGGAAGCATGGTTAGTAAGTTTTGTGGATGACACCAAGATTGATGGTATAGTATAAAGTGAGGAAGCTTATCAAAGATTATAAAGGAATCTAGATCAATCGGGTCAATGGACCAAGGAGAGACAGATGGAGTTTTAGATAAATGTGAGGCGTTGCATTTTGGTTAAACGAACAAGGTCAGGACTTGTACAGGTAATGGTAGGGCACTGGACAGTGTTGTAGAACAGAGAGACCCAGGGGTTCAGGTACATAGTTTATTGGAAGTTGCATCACACATAGACAGAGTGGTAAGAAAGCGTTTGGCATGCTTGCCTGCATTGCTCAGACCATTGAGTATAGGAGTTGGGACGTCATGTTGCAGTTGTACAGGACGTTGGTAAGGCCACTTTTGGAATACTTTGTAACACTTCTGTCATCCTGCTATAGGAAGGATATTGTTAAATTGGAGGGTGCAGAAAAGATTTACAAGGATGTTACTAGGACTGGAGGGTTTGAGTTATAAAGCTTGGATGGATAAGCTGGGACTTCTTTCATTCAAATGTATAATGTTGAGGGGTGACCTTATAGAGGTTTATAAAATTGTGAGGGGCATAGATAAGGTGAATGGCAGATGTCTTTTTCCAAGGATGGCAGAGTTCAAAATTAGGGGGCATATTTTTAAGATGAGAGGAGAAAGTTTTAAAAGGGATATAAGGGACAACTTTTTCATTGTGCTTCCTATATTCTTATCCAAATCATTTCTATAATGAAGAGAAACAGTTTATTGCAGTGTATTGGTTCTTTCTGCTGCACCAACCGGACAGTGATCCAAGCAAGAATATGGAACAGTGAAGACAGTTGCAGCCTTTTGAGGTGCAATTGTGCCTTCACTTACGTGAAATAAACTGCTAGAGAAAGTTGGAGATGCAAGTACAGTTACAACATTTAAAAGACATTTGGACAGATCCATGAATAGGCAAGGTTTAGAGGATACGGACCAAACACCGGCAAATGGGACCAGTTTAGTTTGGGAAAAATGGTCAGCATGGATGAGTTGGACCGAAGGGTCTGTTTCAGTATGTATGACTCTTGTTTGGTACAGCGTTGTTTTGCTAGTAGTACTTGTAGTACTTAATAAACTGTCATTTTAGTATTAAAAGTAACGTATTTTGGAGCGATCTCTGAACAGTTGTGGGAAGCAGAATTAACTTCACAATATTGCTCACGAAATGTTCCATTTTACTGCTAATTTATGCCCTATGAACTGCCAGATATCTTTGGGTAAAACACACCATAAGGTTATGGAGCTGGTATAGCTCGTCAGAAACAGATTCCATGCGTTCAAATTAATTTGCCTTTCCCTTTGTATTTTTCAGTGCGATTCAAGGAACCAGTGGATGAAACTCTTGAGCAAGACCCTGCAGGTAGGTATGAGAATCTCAGATTAGTTATAACATGCCTGCCAAAATATACAATTTGCTGCATTGTCAAGGCAGTGAAGTGACTAATACAAAGAACGGAATGACATTCTGCTTCATGTCCACTGAGAACATGGCATCATTCATGCAGCCTGGGATCCCAGTCATGTTTCTACTCCTTTCACCTTACAGGTCAAGTTTTTGTTCATTCTTCCTTGTCTTGAATGACAGTGTTGGTTTTGATGGGATATCCACAAGCTTTCCATGTATAAATGTATATTTCCATGTACTCTTCATGTATGCACAAGAGCACGGACAATTGTAGCCAGGCATCTCCAAATTATTACAACACAGTAATTCAGTATCTGCATTGCTTCTCCAAATGAGTGATCCACTTAGTGCAAATTATCAGCCTTCTCCCCTTAATCCTGCATGTTCTTCCTTTTCAGATAACAAATTGCTTCCCTTTTGAATGCTTCACTTGAACCTACCTCCACTGCACTCTGTGCATTCCAGAATTTGAATACATTTTCTCTCATGCCAATTTTGCTGTTTTGGCATTACCCTAAATCTGTGTCCCCTTCACTTTTTCATTCAGTCATGAGTGGAAATTGTTTCTCTTATGTCCAGAACCCTCATGGTTTTAAATATGCACCTCTCCAATTGGTTGATTCCTACATGCCCCCACACAGCAAATGCATAATCTAGTAATGCATTCTCTTCCAATGTACGTTAAGTTCCCTTTCCAGCAACTTGCTTCTGCTGAGTCAGTTTGTGCAAAATGTTGTCATCCTTAACGCCAACTCATGCATCCTATTCATTACCCACATCAATCACTTTTCCTTCCGGAACAAGGCCTTCCTAAGTCCCTACCTAACCACTATCGATACCGTTTCCCATTCATTTTTCAGCTCAGATATTCTTAACTAACCTCTCACCCTCCATAAATTAAAATGGGGGAAGAAATTTGACTTGTGGTCAAGACTGACAATGCATCAGCTTGGCAGTTGCTCCATAGACAAGGCTGTGGCAGTAAAGGCTCAAGGCAAATTCAGCATCATTGTCAGAATGGAAGCAGCCAGCCACAGTAGTATTTTATCATAAGGTGTCCATAGAAAGTTTACAGCTCCTTGATCTGTGTGGCTATTACCACATTTAGTCAAGGCATTTAGCCACAGTGCCACTCATTTTGTGAGCCAGAAGTAAATATTATGTGAAAAGGTGATTATTACCGCAACAAGTTATATTGTAGTCCAGTTGATTTAAACATTTGGCTCTACATTTTGACTTAATAAATCTGACTGAGTGTTTCTCTTTCAGCAGACCCAACGGATAAGAAGAACGATGGCAAAACTGACCAGGCCAAGGTGATAGTAGGAGTCATTGTTGGCCTACTTATAGCTGCTGTCATCGCTGGTGTGGTTTACTGGTTGTACAAAAAGAAAAGGTAAGTAAATCACATATCAATCAATAATAACAGCCTGTATGCTTGAATACTAATAATGAAAGAATAATGGTCAGAGATGCTCAAGAGACCTGAAGTAGATGAGATACCTGTAATAGTAGAAGAGATTACAGAGATAGGTAATGCCATTGAAAGACCTGAGATAAAGTCTCGAGAATTTTAAAATTAAGAGTTGTTTGGGAGTCAAATTTGTCAACAGTTGCAGAGATGATGGGACTTGACCTGAATAAGCATGCAGATAGTGGAGTTTTGGATATCCTCAAGTTTATGGAGGTGACAAAAGCATGAATGAGGGTTTCAGCAGCTGATGGTCCGAGTTGAGCATTGTCATGAAGGTGGAAATTAGTGACCTTAATGATGGCAAGGATATGTGGTCAGAAGCTCGACATGGGCCCAGATTTTCGAAAACCAAACCAATCAACTCTCTCTTGCTGCTTTACTCAGTACCACTTCTCTGGTAATTGTAATTTTCCTGAATTCCTCCCTCCTTTACATTTCCTGGTTCTGTGATGTTACCTGTGAAGACGGATTTTAAAAAAAAATTCCTGTTCACATTTATCTGCCATCTCATTATTCCCCATTATCAGCTCTCCATGCTCACTTTCCAAATGTATCACAGCTCATTTTGTAAACATTTTTAAAAAATTACAAAACTCTTCCTCGCTGTATTTATATTTTAACCTAGTTTTCTCTTGTACTTATGTTTATATTTCAGTCATCCTTTGCTTTATTTTGTATTCAGTAAAATATTCTGGCCTGCACCCATCTTTGTATAATTATACGATTTTTATTCACGTTTGATATTATATTTAACTGTTCCAGCTAAGCAAGGATGGTGGGTATATCCATTAAAATAATTCTTGCTGATTTGAAGTAACGAGGGGACAACAATGGATTGCTGCTGTCAGGGGAAAAGGTAACAAAAGGATGGGGTAACAGGTCCAGTACATTGGTTAGCAATTAGTATGCTCAGTCTCTACAAAGGTATGGAACATATTGTTTATGTTACTGCGGAGTCCTGGTGTAAGACAAATCCTCAATGCAGCTCATCATGGTATAAGATCCATCTGGCAAATATGTGGCCAACATCCTGTTACCTGGTACGAATCTCCAGGGCCTGCTTGGACTTGTGTGGTAGATTTGGACAATAAATACTGCTCAAATTGCCCTTAGGAAGGTGTTGGTGAGCTACCTTCCTGAACTCTTGTCCATTTGGTATAGAGAAATCCACAGCATTAAGCAGGGAGTTCCAGAATTCTGAAGCAGCAGGAGAGCAGTCAAGTCAGGATGGTGAGTGCTTTTGGAGGGGAACTTGTAGGTGGTAGTGTTCCCATGTATCTGTTGCCTTTGACCTTCTAAATGGAAGTGGTTGTGGGTTTGGAAGGTGCTTTCTCAGGATCTTTAGTCAATTTCTGCTGTGCATCTTGTAGATAGTATATACTGCTACTATTTTGTTCCGGTGGTGGAGGGAGTAAATGTTTGTAGTTGTGGTGACAATAAGACGGGCAGCTTTGTCCTGGATGGTGCCAAGCTTCTTGAGGGTTGTCGAAGCTACGTGATTCCAGGCAAGTCGGGACTAATCCATAACACTCCAGACTTGCGCCTTGAAATAGTCAGACTTTCAGGAGTCAGGGGGTGAGTTTCTCACTGCAGGATTCCTTGCTTCTGACTTGCTCTTGTAGCTACAGTATTTATATGGCTGGTCCAGTTCAGTTTCTGGTCAATGATAAACACCTAGGTTGCAGATAATGGGCTTTACAAAAGGCTCTACAAAATCCCATGCACAGACTGCGAGAAACACTACATCAGACAACCAGGAAGTAAACTAACAAGAGTACATGAACACCAATTGGCTACAGAAAGAATTGACCAATACTCCCTCATCTCAATCCACATGGACAAGTACAACCACGACTTTGACTGGGACAACACCAAGATCCTGGACAGGCTAGGCAGAGACAAGCACGAGAATTTCTGGAAGCATGGCACTCCACGAAGCAGGCTATTAATAAACACATTGAACTTGACCCCATATACATTCCACTACGAAGGAAAACCGGAAGTGAGGCAATCCATCTCAACGGACCCCAGAGTTTAAAAACCAGGTGGGAAAACACACTGACGCTTCATCGGAGGCTGCACTGAGGATGTTACCAAGCACGGTAACGAAACGTCTGCAAAACAAGAAACCGGCTTGGCGAGCCAACCAACCTCAATGGGCTTTTAGTGATGGTAATGCCATTGAATGTTGTGCAGCAATAGTTGGATTATTCAATTAAATATTGAGAATACCAAAGTGTTCCTACTTGTAAATAGATTAAGAACAAGAAGACTTAGATTTAAAACAATTTAGAAAATAAGTAAATGTAATATGAGAAGAAACTTTCACACAGTGGAATGGGTCTGGAATGTATATTGCATGGAAATGTGGAAGAGTTTATCGATCAAGTCATTCAAGAGGGTATTATGTGATGACTGAAATAGAATCAGTATTCAAGGGTTACAGTGAAAAGGAAAATGTAAATATTAAGAAGTCTGAAGCTTTAGGTTTAGTCCTCCTTCAAACTTTGTTTCCTAGCTACCTATTTCGTCCCTCCCCTGATAACAGTCTGATAGTGAATTAGGGTGTTTGCAACTTAACTGTCAAATTTGATCTTGAGATGACCTGACCTCGTATTTGTGCTGTCACTCAGACTCTATTTCCACTTCAGTAACATCATCTCATGTTGTCTCAGCTCATCTACTGGTGATATACTTTCATGCCTTTGTTACCTCTGAACTTGACTATTCCAAAGCTTCCATGGCAGGTTCACTAAGACTGAGATCCTCTAAACAGACGTTTATTTTGTAACTCACAATAAGTCCCATTCCCCTATCATCCCTCTGCATCCTAATCCACATTGGCACCAGGTCGAGCCACATCTTAATTTTAAAATTCTCCTCCTTGATTTTAAATTCCTCCATGGCTTTGTCGCTTTCCATATTTTAGCCCCACGATCCTCCTGCAATATATCAGTGCTGCTGTAATTCTGATATTAATTACCTGATCTTTGGTGGTTGTGTCTTCAAATGCCTAGACCCTAAACACCCCTCTACGTTAAACTTTCACATGTAAAATGAGAGATTAATAGGTATGTTAAATGTGGATACAGGAGCTTATAATGGTGGCATTGCTGCAGCAAGTTTGTTTTCTTGGTAAATACTGGGTCTTTTAAATATAAATTGAGATTGACTCTGCGCTGTGATTCTCTGCCCTCTTTTTAACCCCATTCTCTAATAGCCCAACATCAAAGACCAAAACCAATGAAAGAGGCACTGCTGATGAGATCAAGAAGATAAATAAGGGAGATAACAACCACACATCAGGTTCCTCAACTGTATAACCACATCATCTCAACAAGTCAGGTATGGCTCTCCATAAAACACAAGCATTTCAGCCACTCCTAATAAATTAACCATAATTGCACTGCTCTATTCACTATCATCACAATTATTACTCGGAGTGTCATTGTTTTCTAAAACTAATAGGTAGAGGGGTGAGCGCTGAAGGTATAATTTTCATGGAGGACTATAAAATCATCGTAAACCTGAACACTAATGTTTAAGTGTTTTATGGATGTCGTCCAAATCTCAAGCTTAATGACTGAAAAGGGAGAGGTTATTTTGATGAGTGACCTACACAATAAATTTTATGATTTACAAAAGTGAGTAGCAAAGGAATTGTTCTGCACTTCCAAAATAAAGTTATGAGAAGGGCAAGCCTAAAATTACTTAAGTGTTTGATTTTATATATTGTTTTGAAATTTTGCACTTTGTACTTATGAATTGCATGTTGCTTTACTTTAATTTTGCACTTATTGCATCAAAATGTATTGTTCATTTTAAACAGCTTGTGCTGTTATTCTCAACCCTGATAATTTTAATATCAGCAGAAGAAAATAAATAGAATTGACATGCTGGACATTACAAGAGATGTAACACAGTACTGACTATGAATAACAGAAAAATTGTCTTCACCACAAAGATTGCTAATGTTATGGACCAGACCAAACCCCCTGAAAGCATGTTAAGGAGACAGCCTAAACCCTATTTTTTTCTTGTTTTAAAGGCAAGTGCCAGGTGTTATGGTCCAGATGCAAATTCTGATATTTTACCAAAACACACTTTATTCATACACTGTAGTTACAATACAGACAAAATAAAAAATAATTGTCTTAACTGCAACTCTATCGAAATACTTAACAAAACAATAAACTACTCATTAACAGTTCCAATATCCCATAAGCACACCCTTGGCAAAGGCAAAGTCAGTAAAATAAATCCTCTCGTGCAATTCCAGCAGCAGGAAGAAACCACCCCACCCCACCAAATTCTAGCTGTCACAGAGAGAGGAATCAGAGCTTCTATATCCATCTTCAAGACTCAGCAATTGCTGAAAACTATACTAAAAATCCTGGTTCTATGGGAGCTTGACCCCACCCATTCAGGCTGCTTCTATTGTTCCAACTTCTTAAAAAAAGGCCTCTCAAGTTGTTTACTTTATTGGCTTTGAACAGACTGCTGGGCACCTCTGTCTCAACCTCTCTTCATTAACAAAACCAGGACAAAGTACACCTCTTGAAGCCATAGTATTGGAACACTAATTTATTGAGAATAATTGTATGTTTTCTCAGCTGCTTTACCAAATTTCTTTAAAATTCCATGTTCAACATATCACAGTTCAGAGTTTCAATTGCTTTCCAAAATATATAGAAACCACAATTGACGTGACCCATGCTGTAGAACGATCATCACTACTAGATTTTCTGCAATTTCTCCCATATAATTTTGTTTACCCACTTAGTATCAACTGTTTTAACTGATGATGAGCATGAGCTTCAATTCCACATGGTTTTGCTGTAACAATGTGATTTGTTCTTGCCATCCATTGCTTGAACTTTTGAAGATTAACTTGTAGAACAAGAAAATTTCCAATTGATTCCAATATTTTCTCCTCTTTGAAGGTGTTAGCTTGGCAACTGCGTCATATATCCTATGTTTTTCAAGCAGCCGTATTTCATATGCATACCTAGACAGCAGGTGATTATAGATTACTTGGATTAAGAAAAGAGGGGCCAAATAGTTATTGTATACTGCCCCTGGATTATGTCCACATTTGTCCTTTCTTGCTGGTGTTTTTGCAACAATGAACACAGGAAGAACATTAGTTAATTGTTTCTTCTCCCCCAGTCTCAGGGAGACTGAGGTCAGTGGTTGATAATTAGTATAATCTGTTGAAATCCGCTAAAACATGCATGACTTGGTTATAAACCCTTGGTTATAAATTATGCCAAGCGAAGCTAGCTATAGAGTTATAGGCTCAAACTGCACAAGCATGACAGACAGGTTCATCTGTATTACAGTTTCAGTCAACGGCTGTAATTCTAATATTGTCCTTACATAACTTCTCCTATTTGTATTATATATAATCTTAAATACTGCTTTGGATAGACAAAGCAAATCTTTTCAAAATTTATGTCAGCATTCATGTTCAAACTGGCTGGCAAGTTCAGGGAACAAAGAAATAAGATGTGGTTGGTTACCATTATGATTTACTACTAGTTTTACACTACTGCACCATTTACCTTGCCTAAATGGCATCCTTCATTTGTTCATTCTTGAATATGTTATTTATTAACCATCCCCAGTTGCTCTTGAGAAGATGATGGTGAGTTGCTTCCTTCAAATGCTATAGATACATCTAATATGCTGTTAAACAGGGAGTTCTACAATTTTGAATCCACACCAGTGAAGGAACAGTGCTGTGGTTCCAAGCCAGGATGATGTGACTTGAAGGGGTTTAGAAGAGATTGTCAGTGTTTTTGTAGATGATGCACATTGTGCGTCAGTGATGAAAGGAGTGGATGTCAGAATTGGAGATGTGTCAATCAGATAGGCTGTTTTGTTCTCATTGGTGGTGAATTTAGAATGTTATTAGAGCTGCATTCATCCAGGCAAATGGACAGTATTCCACCACACTCCTTTTGCCTTGTAGATCGTGGTCAGACTGGAGTCAAAAGGTTACTCGTGACAGAAGTCCCAGTCTCTGATCTGTCTGTCCTTATCACTACAGTACTTCTCGTCAGTGGTAACACCCAGAATGTTGTTAGAGGGGGATTCAGTGATGACAATACATTGAATGTCAAATGGAAATGGCTACGATTCTCTTGTGTGAATTGGGCATTTCAGGCACATGTATGGTGCAAATGTTAGTTTCTGCTTATCAGCACAAGCCTCTTGCTGTATTTGAATAGGGACAGCTTCAATATCTAAGGAGTCAAATGGTGCTGAACATCATGCAAGCATCAGAAAACATCTCCACCTCTGACCTTAGAATGAAGGGTACCTCATTGGGCTAAAGATATTACCCTGAGGTACTCCTAAAGAAATGTTTGGGAACTGAGGTGGTTGATTTTGTCCTCAGCCTCCCCATTCTCATTAGGTTGGAGGATTTGCACGTCAGGTGGAGCTCAAATTTAACACTGCAACTACCATTCTAACAATGTGTTGATGAAATACCAATTAACTGCACTGAAAGGGAACAGTTCCTACTCTTGAGACTCATTCCTGCATGTAGTAAATTCTTGAGTTTTTTTAAGACATTCAAATTTAATTTTAGATCATACCTTTGCTTTGAACTGAGTAAGGAAAATAAATCTTTCTTTCTCGGAATACTAATTCATCTTATTTAATTATTTGTTTCTTTCACGATTTTTCAATCAATCAAATGCTTAAGTGGATTAATTTTTTTATTCCCTTGTTTACTAGGATCCTAGATTTTAAATGGCTGTTATGGTACAAGCAGAAGGGTAAAGTAAAAAGGCTAACTGAGCATGCCAGGATACAATACTCCAAGTGAATGCAAATAAGATGCTTTCCAATTTATATATGGTGTTTTGTTTTCTCCTTTATAGGGAAAGAAGACATCTACTCAGATACAGATTGGCCAAGGACATGATTGACGTTGAAACAGCGAATTGTAAGATATGCTGAAATCGACAGCAACTTGAAATTGCCATGTTTCTCCACCACTGGCAATGCCTTATCTCTAAGATATGGAAATACAAATATTTTCAGCTGAATATCCAAATATTTTTAATGAAACACATTGTTTGTTACTCTCTGTGGGCTGAAGCAGCATTTTACTTGAGCAGTTGTACACAAGGTTATCTCCTCACACTGATGACGTAAATATGCAGTAACTTTTCATTGGATTCAACACATACAGCACATGACTAATATTAGAAGAGGTGACCAAGATATTACTCTCAACTAAGGGACTCAGTCCTTCAAAGGATAATAAAGTGCCCCAGTGTAACAAATGAGGGGTTAAGATATTTTAGGAAGTGTGTTTCATTGTTTTAAATATCTGCACTGATGTGTTTGCTTTAAATGTTAATATAATTTTCCAGGGGGTGGTGAATACTTTCATGTGCCATTTCTTTATGGCATTGGTTTATGGGTTAATGTGGATCATATTGCAAATGTATTTTTTTAAATATTAGCTTCAGGTTAATTTTCATGGCAATTCTGGTTAGTAAGAGTTGGTACAAAGCAAAGATTTCATTGGCTGAGTTGATGTTAAACCATTGTTAGACTTCAGTGGAACTTTCATTATCTTCCATGATGGAGGAAATCCCAAGCAGATATGTGTCTATCAATTTTAGTTTTAGATCTGTGTTACAGCAGTTGCCTAAAAAGGGAAGGTAAGTAAAATACATTGGGTCAAATTTTATAGGGTCTTGTATGATGTGGATTTTGGTGAGAAATCAGGGAGAATTGTATTACAAGTTCACTGAGACCCTTCTTAATGTTGGAAGCGACTAGCTGCATTTTCCAACTACGTTCTGGTTTTACAGGCCTCATTAACTATATATCTCACCTTATTAATATACAGCTACTTCTCCTTCCGCCCACTCTGAGGGGGAAACTCGACCGAGAATTCCTGACATGAAAGCTGCCCTTCAAGCTGCAATGACAACTGGCATTGAAATGGTGCTACAAGGACGTGTAGAAACAGGCAACCCAACTCACAATTGGACCAGGCTGAATCTCAGGGCTTCTTGCTTGCTCTCTCAGCATTTACGCAGCTTGAGCCTATCTGGATGCTGACAAAATCCTTGCCTTTTTGCTCTTTCCTCTCACCAAGCCAGAGCTACCAGGTTGTCAATGTTTCTGTCTTGCATTGTCATTTAGCACAGATACAAAGCAAAGCAGCTTATCATGGTTGTGACCAGTCCTCAATCACATCAAGGGAGATAGCCTTCAGTCTAGAAGTCCCAGTGCTGCACATCAAGGGCAGCTATCTACATCAGGCGAGTTGGGTTTGGCGCAGTCAGTGTCAGGACCCTCCCCTCAGTGAGCTGCATGTTGGGCAGATCACCAGCTGTCTTGGGTCTTTATGGCCTATTGTAGGCTATTTTCTCCTGGAATGAGAGAAAGGTGAGAACTGAGTGGCACAGCTGTTTAAGCTCGTTCAGGTGGGACATGGTGATGTATCCCAAGAAAATGAGAAGGCAGCAGAGAGGCTATGCAGGGGTAGTAGAGTCGGGTTTGGGGTGGGTGAATGAGTTGGATAGTGTATGAACCATGGTGGGAATTGGATGCAGTAGTAGAGAGATGATTGCTCAGTGGAGACAGTCATAGAGTTCTCAGCTGGCTGAAGGAAGGCTCAGCAGCCAAAAAGAGGGTCAAAGACTCGGAAGACAACTTACTATCAGACCTTGCCAGCCTGATCTAAAGGCCTCTGCTGCTGGTCTTGGGGAAGGAAGACATCATTCATATGCACCATTTGTCCAACTGGTTCTTATCTGCAAAGTGAGGAACCAAGTTACTTGTATCAAACATCTGGGATAAATGTCAGGGTAGAACAACTTTGGACTGATGGTGCTCATCTAAGTGCACATCTGTGTTTTTAAAAAAATGGCACGGGCAGCAGGGACAACAAGGTGCAGAGCCGGATAAACACAGCAGGCCAAGCAGCATCATAGGAGCAGAAAGGCTGACGTTTTGGGCCTAGACCCTTCGAGAAATCCTGGACTGCTGAGTTCTTCCAGAGACAGAGTAGTAGTAAAACTGGGCTAGTCACAGATCTGAAGTGCAACATAGAGGTAGTGTAGGTCGTTAACGAGGCAAGTTTAGGACAATAGCATGAGAAAACTTGACAAATTTGACACTTAAGCCAAAAGAAATTCAGCCCATTTGATTCAGTCATTCTGAGTAGCAGCATTTTTGATGGGAGGCATTTGAACTTAACAGGTTTTCGAAAGAGCAACATGTCATACAAAGCTTTACCCTCCAAATATTTTGATGAATAGTCAAAAAATCAGAGCAAAGATAATGAAGGTTCCACTGTCCCTTACCAATTGCTCACTTGGGTTTAAATTTTCCTGATCCTTGCTGCTAGTTTCACCAACTAGTTGCACTGCTTAAAGCACTCTTTAATAGCAAATTGAAATTTGCTGGAATATGTTGGTTTTTATAGTGATGTATGCTCTCAATGTATTGGTTAGAAAAAAAAAGTACACCACTAGATTTTCATTTGTTGTGCCTCCCAATAGAACTGGAATTAGGGAGGAAGTAATGTATATTTATAATTGATGCATTTTTTGTACTGATCTTAACCGAGGCATCCATAGATAACATCCTCAAATGTGTGAGAGCAGTTGGCATCCAAAAAATTATGAAAGATATTAGAAGCCAAATATAAGTGATAAATAGGAATCAAACTACTTTGTTTACAAACTCTTGTTGAAGAGTTTTGCAGAGCAAACAGCAACTTGGATAATAACGTGTATTATTTAGACATAATGAGCAAAAAAATGGAAAAAAAGTCAACTCTGTTACATGTAGCATCATAAATACACTCAAAGAATGTGTTTACAAAGGTGATGCACCACTGACTGGATCCCCATATAGATTTCACCAGGTTAATTTTTCATTTTTTCTTTGAAAAAATGAAAAATTAAAAGTTGAAGCTAGTAATTGATCAATATTTAATTTGCCATAAATGTATAGACATTGTGGGATGATTACTGAATACACAAGACGTTTGTGAAAAATATGCTAAAATTGTGCACGTTTGAGGAATTTATTCTCCTAATTTCTGTGATGACCTGATATATGGGCTACTTTTTTCTTTGTAAACTACAATCTCCATTTCTGTGATGCCCTTATTTCATGAGTTTTAGACTTTCCAAAAATATGCACCAGATGTTTGTAATATATTCAGGGGTTGTGACCCCCCTGGAAAATCACTTACCTGCCCAGCATATTTACGTTACTTGTATGTTAGCAGTGCAGGCAGTTAACTAAATTTGGGTCATTTAAAGTGACATTTCAACTTTAATTCACGATATATATGGATTCTATGTTATGGCGGTAAAGCATAGTAGACGGACCTAATGGTTTTACTAAGACTTGTTATACTTCAATGATTGAATCGCTGAAATACACATAAGTGAATAATAATGATGTCCCCTAATCCTATGGATCGTTGTGACCTCACTTAGTTGCATGGAAAAGTAGATGGAAATGTACAAATATAAATCCCATTGTAAAAACTGAATTTAACTTATTCAGTCGTTAAATGGCAGTGACCCAGATTAGTTAGCCTGATTCCCTGTACAAAAACAATTCATAATCTTTAATCTTTCCAGTTTGCTAAAAAAAAATAAATGTTTTGAAGCTTCAAACAGTCTACATTGAATTATTTATTTAGTGGTAAGAAATGATCAAAATTCTGCTTCTCAACCTGTTTATATTCAATGTGTTTTGAAAACAAAGGAGAGTTAGGGCATATAGAGTGCTCCTAGAATTACATCAGCTGCAATCTAAATTCTGAACAATTGTTAGTCAAACCTGGTGGATTGAAGTCTTGAGGAAGCTAAAGCTGGTATCTGAACTTGTATGGTGTTTTATAATGTTTAATCAAAAGAACAAAACTTGGAAAAAAACAAGAATTCCCAGCACCCAGATTAATAGACAGGTTTATCATTTCTAGGGAAATAAAGTTAATTGGTGTCATAGTAAAGAGCTAGATATTGAAAAACAGATGATGATCAGATTATACCACAGCTCATGAATGATAGAAATGAGTTCTGAAGAAGTCATACCCAAATCAAAACTATCACACTATTTCTCTCCACGGATACTACCAGACATGCTGAGTTTCTCCAGCATTCTCTATTTAGGCAAGAGGACGTACATTTTTTTTGTATCCCAATCACAAAGCCAGTAATTTGGTCACCATTGCACAAGAGATATAGTGAAAAATCGGGAACCTCAAATAAATGGTTAATTGAAGTGGCCCAGGACTCTTGATTAATTTTCCTTTTCCACATTCACGTGCTAAAATCTGCATTCATTTCAAAATTAATATTGAAAAGCTGGTAACAATATGCAAATCTTAATAACCAACCACAATCATTCATATCTCTCCCTTAGTGTGCTGAAATTAAAATTGACCTTTGATAGAATTAACTGGAAAAAGTTTCTTCTTGCCATTGTTAACTAAGCTCTTCATATGAAAAATAAATTCCTGCAGAGCAAACTGTTTATAGTTCAGTCCAGCTATAGCTGTATTCCTCATTTTTCAGGCATTTTCTTCACTTTTTTTTGATCAATTGCCCAACATAATGGCATGTACCTTGTTAGAGTGGGCCATCTAGTGGCATGCAATGTTAGAACATAGAAATCAGTGTATTTCTTCAGTTAATATCTAAGCCTTGTGAAAGAAATAAACCAGATATGGAAAACAAAATAACAACAGGCAAAGTAAAAATGTTATCTTTAAAATATTCCTTGGAGATTAGTTTTTTTTAAAAACTACGTGAGAATGAGACTTAACAACTTCAACAGTTCCTTTTTAGCTAAAATAGTTGGTTGGCACTGCTATAACAACAAATTCAAATAAGTGACCTTTTCACAAATACAAGTCACAACTTTCTGTAGTGAGTTCAATTTGAATTTAATGTGCAAAGCTAGCAGAATCTTTAAAACAAGAATGAAGGTGACTTATTTGTGCATGGTAATTGGTACATTGGAATAAACTAAACAGTAAACTCTACTTTTCACTGCTTATTAATACATAAGTCAGCCAGCCGGTTCATACAAAGAGCCTAGTGAATCTCGTCTTTTTTTTGGGAATAAAACTGCTTTTCCGTTGGCTGTGATTGGAAACATTCTTCATTTATCGTGTAGTTTAATGGTTAATGGCAGGGACAGGCTTGCACTGGACAAAGTTATACTTTTCCAGGTTAGTTTCAAGACATGGTAAGTTTAAAGAGCATTGCTCAGCAGCTATATTAACAAATTTATGGATTCTTGTTTAGGCTTGTGAGAATGCAGAATACAGGAAGACCCGAGCCACGCATTAGTGCTCACTTGTATGGAAGACTAGGACAAGCATAACAGCAAGGAAAAAGTATAGTTCATAGCCTTTTAAATCTTCCTTGAGCTTTCCTTTTCTGAAGTAGGAGTGTGTTACTAAGCACAGTCTGAAAGCAAGTTACGGTGGTCATGATTTACAGATACCTTCATTCTGTTCAGCTCTTCCACCAATTACTCCTCAGTTCCCATGAGCTCCCACCAAAACTACCATCCACAGAATTAGCCCAATCGTTCACTGACTAAATCAAATTATTCCAAACTTCATGCTGATACAGCTGAGCTTACAAGACTTTCTAAATTCCCTGAAAAACTTTGGATTACTAAAATCTGTTATTTTAAGAAATGATCTATCATCAATTGTCATTTGCAGAAGAGGTCCAAATGAAGTGTTTTCTAATCTCACTGTAAATTTTGGTCAATGCCCCTCAGTTGTAGACTTCAACTGGTGAAAATAGACTTGCATGCAACACCCTGTCTTAATATAGCAACTGTAACACTGCTGATACCTACCGAAAATCAATGGCTACATAAAATTTACTGGCACCCAATTTGGAGACTAACACTGATATTCTGCAGCCATTTTTGTTTCACTCAAGGAAGTTTGACTTCCATTGGCAATTCATAAATAAGTAAATCAATTCTCTGTATCATTCATAAATATTCAGTTAAGTCTGGATCATTGAATTTTCAAGATTCACTGAGTAATTCAGCAAACAAACGCTCAGAGTAAAGAAAATGAGACATAAAAACTGAAAGAACTGCAGCTGCTGGAAAAGCTCAGCAGGTCTGGCAGCATCTGTGAAGAAAAAGATCAGAGTTAACATTTCGGGTCCTGTGACTCTTCCTCAGAACAGAAGACATATCCTGTTGTTAATTAGTAAAGTATCCCTTTAAGTAATAAAGCACTACTTAACACTTTTAATGTATCCAACATAAAGGACTGTATCATATTGTGACACCCCTAATCAAAAAGCAGGTAACCATAGGCAGATTAACTTAACATCTATTGTTGAAAAAGTATTAGAATCTGCTATTACTTCCTTAATAATTGAACATTTAGGAAATCATAATTGAATCAAGTAAAGCCAGTTGGTGGTTATACACCAGTGACCTTGTTTATAGGTGTTAAAAAAAAGATTTTGGGACTGCTGTTCAGAATGACAAATCCAGTCCTCTTGTGTACTACAAAAAAAGTTTAGATACCAGCATTCACAAGCTTGAAAGAAAATAAGAATATTTCACTCCAACAATAAAAATGGACAATTTATTTGTTAATACTGATTTAATAAAATATTTTACCAGAACAGTTGAAATATTTGAAAAGTTACTGAAAACTCAATTCAAAAAGGGGTCAAAAGAATATGGAGTAACATTTAAACTAATTACACATATTACTATTTTTCCACATGTTAGACAAATAATAAAAGGGCATCCTTCTCAATGGAACACTGACAAATGAAAACAAACCTAAATAAAAAAATACTAAATAGTTTCTTATTTAAGAAACATCCTCAGGTCATAGCTGACTTCCAATGAACTCAACCAATAGAATGAAGACAGCCCTTAGCAGTGCACTGCATCATTTCAAGCAGGTGAAGAGTTACTGTTCAGCTTAGAAACAGATTCCATGAAACAGACTTTGCTCAGCATTTAAACAAAACAAAAAATCTAAACTTTATACCACATGGTCAACATAAATGAAACCACAACAAATGGTTAAAAGGAAAGAGAGGAAATGTGCATGTCAGTTGAAAAATTAAGATTGTTAAATTTCTCCAGGCTCAGAGCAGCTCAGTATCACCTCCAGGATAAAAGTAAAATATTGTGGATGGTGGACATCCAAAATAAAAACTGAAAATGCTGAAAAAACTCAGCAGGTCTAGCACCATCAGTGTATAAAATAATTCATGTTTTGAGTCCAGTATGAGTCTTCTCCACTTGTTTTGAAACATTAACTCCATTTCTCTCTCCACAGATGATGCCAGACCTACTGAGTTTCTCTCTTTATTTCACCAGCAGTATGATTAATTGCTATAGGTCCTTACATTTTTCACAGGTTTCATCTAATGAAATAAAACAATGGCCTCTAAATACTCAATAAAGTAAGTGACCTTAAGAAGCTTTCTCAAGGTCAGATTTTATACACAAATAGATGTGAATAATTCACATATACAATTATGGGTAGTACAAGAGAAAAGCCTTTCTATTTTATAATTAGTGCACGTGACAGCTATTTAGTTTCAACATTTGCACTCAAAGATATGAGGAAACTAAATGATAAGCTGATTGTGCAAAAGTATAAGGCCAAATTGAAACGGAACCAAAATCTGAATATGACCAGTTCAAGAATGTAATTCACAGTTTAAGGAAAATCATCTGGCAGGACAAAGGCCATTCCTGAAACTGATTTCAAAATCTAAATTTAAGAACTGCTGATGGCTTTTCTGCAAATCTAGAATACATGTTGAGATCTATCCCCAAAATAAATAATTTCCACTGTGCAGGTCAAATAATTAAAACCAAATTATTTTTCAGTCTCTGAATTTTTTAAAAAAGTACACTTTAACATGACTTTGATAACGACTAACAGCACTACACTGACAATTGACTATAAAACTGAAAATATCAAAAAGAAATTAAATGCTTTAACATTTTCAGTAACTTTTAAGGGAAAGCAGCAATACACCCAATACACTGATAGAGGTAAAATCTGCAAGAACTGCAGATACTGTAAATCAAAAACAAAATTATAAATTGCTGAAAAAGCTCAGCAGGTCTGGCAACAGATGTGGAGACACATCAGAGTTAATGTTTTGGGTCCAGTAACCCTTCCTCAGAACTCAGATTGACACTGATAGAGGTCTGATGTAGATGGAGGGAACAAAATGGAGACCAAACATTCCAAGTCCCATCTACAACTGACCCCCATTTCACTGTCAGCACAAAAAAAATACCTACTTCATCAGATACCTACTTATCTAAGGCTATTCTAACTTTGATATTGACTGGAAATGAAAACCACTGCTGCATCATTCTTCAATTTTACAGCAAGTCAAAATTACACCCCCACTATATTTAATCTAATAAAATATTGAGCTGTATTTAGTGCATTTATATATTTATAAATTGTGAAAATAAAAACCACATTAGAAAATATCACTGGTAATTTCCCCCATCCCCTCAAAATTACTTCTTAATTGCCTATAACTTTACCAGTGCTATTGTACAGACAGACCAATAGATGGCAGTATAATAGCGTAAGACATATTTTGAACATGCCACACAGTTGATAGTGAACCATACAGGATAATACTAATGGAGACGCAGTGGAGACACAGATCAAGAAACTACCATTAATCTGTTACTGTAATTTATGAAATATATATTCATTTAATAGCCACATTGTTATACATCATACAGTCAGTGATTTAAATGGTGATTAGCTTTAATACTTTCGGTCTCTTGAGTTTAGATGACCATAAAACTGCTCAAAGTAAACAGCTAAAGTCAGGTTTCAACTAGTATTAAGGCATGAATTATTCAGCCTCAAAGCTATGAAGCAAACCTACAAAGCTACTGACTGAACATAGGTTACAAAAGATAGTCATAATTTACATAAGGATGGATATTTGCCCTGAGTTTTGTTTCACCAGAAATTATGGTGACACAAGACAAAGCTGAACCAATGATTCTCTTCACAATGTAACCTACAGAACAGACATTGACAAAACGAAGTTAATTTATTATCCCATTATTGAGTAAAGCAAATAAGATCCATTACCAATGTGAAGAAAGGAGTAGATACTTCATGAATTGGCAAAGACTATTTGCTATTTCACAGTCTTCCGGCACAACGTTAACAGTGCAAAATCTAATCCTTTCTTCGGACTGAATAATCGGCTGACGCTGGTGCTAACAAAGTGATACCAGACTTGAAAACTGACAACACTCACCCTTTCCAAACAAAAGGATGCTGTCACTCATGACATCAGCAATAATGATATTGTTCTACTCCATGCTCACAAATAGCAAAGTTGATGTTCTTATCCTGCTACACAGTTCTATTAAAATGTTGGCACATAATCGAATGGAGGCAGTTTTACATTCAGTTGGCCATAATCAGTGTATAGATGCTGTGTGCTGTCTCTGATGCTTCTGCTTCCCTATATCCAGCGTTATAAACTATTTTAAAATATTAAAAAAAAAACTTGGTTGTATTTTGGAATTGATCCAACTAACGATGTCACAACTCATGAAAGTCAGTCAGCACTTTTTGTTGCCTTAACCAGAAACTTCTCAATTAATTTTGTTCTGTTAGAATACAATGTGGATGAAGTAGCTGGGTCATAAGACAAAAGAGGAATAGAAATTATTTTTAAAATGCTGAAGGCTGTACACAATGGGAAGCTGCCGAGGTTACAGTCAAAAATTACTTTGAAAGGCTATACATAGACAAATATATGTAACTGCACATTCAGAAATTAGTTTTTTTTTTTAATAAAGAAATTTCATTTTATCTCAGAAAAGATTCAGTAGTGAAGGCCACATGCTTTTTGCACCTGTTGATAGACTGAAATGCAGCAAACGAAAGCATCTTCAGAACGAATTCATTTAGTCTGTGTCTAGATTAAATGATGAGGGTGGAGAGTTCAAAACTGGCGGTGTGTCCCCATCAGTGCAGATGACATGAAAGGAATGCTGCAACAAGGCTGACCGATCCCAGAGTCCACATTTAAAAATACTGAGACCGATAAGACCATATATCCCACTTAAGCAAAGTTCAGATGACTTTCAAAAATCTTTTGACAGCGGTAAGCAGCAGAGATCTCAAGCAATTCACAGGAGTGAAATTCAAGGAGAGTAAACTTTCTTCTTCTCAGTTGAACCCTGATTCTTAACGTTATGGCTAGTAAAAATACATAAGCATCATTCTCTATCTCCTACCAGAAACCTTCTCAAGAAACCCACTGAAACAGACTGCAGTCAGTCAACACGCAATTGTTCCACCAGTTGAATGCTACTTTAAAATTCAATGCTCCTCAGAAATTCGGATGCCTATTCTCTGGGCTTTTCACTCGCAGATGAACAGCTATGGATTGAGACGTGGTGAAATAGGAGGAAAGCAGGCAAATTCTCTAAGAATACTTCTTGCCATCTCTACATCATTGTTAGCTATTGCAAGTGCCCGTTTTACATCTTCAAAGGAGTAACCTTCTCCCATCAGTTTTGCAATCTTAGCATCCACATTTTCTCCTGCTTGGCTACAATGCAAAGAAGTTGGCTCTTGAACATTATTTTTCTTGTGGTAACTATCAGGTGCAGTCCTGCGTGGGAGTGGTTTAGGTGGTCTGGCTGGAGCCTGTGAACTATCTGAAATAGAAATCAAAACAATGAAAGTCTAAAGTCCAAAGACACAATGACAAGGGAAAAGTGTCAAGTGGTATACTTGATCATTACCACTTCAGTTTGTTTTTACTGAATTTTAGTAATGAAATGCCCAAGTACTCCATCAATTTGTCAACAAAAAACTAACTCAACTGGTATATTTTTGTATAACTTCAATAACTCACAGCCCAAATAAAACTTTAGCACACCATCAAAAAATTACAATACAGAGAGGCATGTGCACACGTCAATTATTGTCAATTCCTCAGTAAACAAAATTTTGTAGCTTATTGAATCAGCCAATCTGGTTTTACGTTTTATCAACCTCAAGATATTATACCTTTCAAAGAAAATCTACATAGTTACTTTTTTTTTGACATAAGTGTATGAAGTCAAAAGTATACTGGAATGAGATTCAAAGTGAGTAGCATAACTGGAATGTGTGTGGACTTGCATAGAGTGTTCAAAATAATGCCAGTTTCTCATATCTGAACAGTTCATCTCACATTCAACATTAAAGAATATCTGTGTCCAACAGATTATTTAGTTCCAGTTATACTTGGTTCCTTCAGTTCAGGTTTTCCATATTGTACCTGCCAATGACGGGAGTTGATCATATTCTTGTGACATCCTGTTGGATTTCTGATTATCTTCAACCATCCTTCTAGCTGGAGGTACTGGAAAACTTGCCGGGTCAAAGACAGAATCTACTTTAAAAAAAAAATGTTTAAGTAATTCTTACTAATTCTTTTTCAATTTATGTTTACTTAGCACTTTACCACATATCTCAGATATGTCCCAAACTGTTTTACATAAAATGTGTTATGCAAATAGCGAGAGTTGCTATGTGGACAAGCAAAGTAACCATTTTATGTATGATACAGAGATACCAGTTGACTGCAATGACCAGATCTGAAAATTTCAACTTCCAGATGAGGACACCAGAAAACTCTTCTGCTTGAATAATCCTTTAGCATACAGACAAGGATAGGGTTTTAACATTTCTACTAAAGCACAAAACCTCAAATAGTGCCGATTCTCCCTCTGTCCTGCATTGGAGAGTTGGTCTGATTTGTGAGATCAATTTCTGGGCTCAAACACATTATTTTTTGACAGAGAGACACAATAGTGGATAACTTGAGTGGACTATCTGCAGAAGTCAAAGATAAATACTTTGTCTTTTATTACTTGGTCGTGAATTTACCTATGGATTAGCAAATTTCAATGGGTCTCTTTCACCTATTGACAAAGAACTTCATTAACCATTCCAATGCTATCCTGCCCAGCCTGACATTTTCTATCCTCCATTAAAAAAAAACTATACAAGATGGGTTTCTGAAGCATTACATTGAAAACCAACTAGCAATTGGGCTATTTTACATTTATTAGTACACAATAGGCAAAGGGTTAATTAATAACCTCGCTACAAAAAAGCTTTGGGAAATAGTGATCATTATTCACTAAAATTTTACATTAAGTTTAAATATGATGTTGCTCGTACTGAGACTAGGGTCTTAATTCTGAAAAAAGGAAACTATGAAGGGGCAAGTTGGGCATGGTGGATTAATAAAATACACAAAGATTTGCCATTGAACAATCAATGATTAGTATTTAAAGTAGTAAATACACATTCCTCTTAAGCACAAACATCCAGTAGAAAAAGTGAATTATCTGTGGCTAACAAGTTAAAGTTACAATAGATTAAAGAAAGAGGCTTATTAGGATTGCAGAAGATGTGGCAAGCCTGAGAAATGGGAGCAAGTTAGGATCCAGTGTAGGAAGACCGAGAAACGAAAACATGAATGCAAAACATCAAGAAACATTAAAACAGACTATTAAAGCTTATTCAAGCGCATGAAAATATAATGATTAGCTAAAACAAATGTGGTTCCAATACAGATGCAGACAGGAGCAGGAAAATTGCAGAGAAACTAAACAATTACTTTGTGTATGCACTTTCATGGAAGGGGTTACACAAAACCACACAAAAATATTAGGCAACCAAGGGACTTGTAAAACTGAACAACTGAAATCTATTGCTATTAGATTCTAACTGGATACGAGATGAGCTGGGGCCCCAGAGTGTGGAAGAAACTATAGATTTAACTTGATGCATTAGTGGTTGGTTTTCAAAATTCTATAGATCCTGGCATGTCAAACTGAAAAATAACAAATGTGATCTCAGTATTTAAGAAGGGAGGGAAGGAGGGAATGGAGAACTACAGACCAGTTAGTTTTATCATCAGTGGTGGGGAAAATATTAGAATCTATTACAAAGGATGTGATGACTTGACACTTAAGTAAATAATGGTAAAATCAGGCAGAATCAACGTGGATTTCGAACACAGGAGTTCTGAGAAGGGGTCACTCGCCCTGAAACATTTACCCTGATTTCTCTTAAGAATGCTGCCAGACCAGCTGAGCTTTACCAGCAATTTCTGTTTTTGTTTCTAGTTTACAGCATCTGAGTTCTTTCAGTTTTTGTACACTTTTAGGGAGGTCAGGACACTAGGAAAAGATGGAGGGATAGTTCTGTTAGTTAATGATGAATGACAGTTACATATTCGCAACTACTCCTTGGCTTATTGTCACATTATATATGCTTTCAGTACAGCTCATCCAGTCCCTCCTACTGTTAGCTCTTATTATCACTTAATTATTCAGCTTTTCTTCTATCCTAGCCTACTATCCATAATCTCCTGTGTACCTATCCCTTTCAAATGTCTCTCTCTCTCTCTCTCTCTCTCTCTCTGAGAGCCATCACCACCTATTCACTCACATCTTCCATCTTCCCTCTTCCCACTCCCTCCAGTCACGCCTCCCCTTAAGCATAAATGCCACTTTTTCCGAGCTGCAAACAGGTTTGATGAAGATTCACCACTCTTGAAACATTAACTCTGCTTTGTTTCCATAAATTCTGCCAGACCTACTGAGTTTCAGCAGCCATTCTTGTCTTTTTCTCAGAGCTCTGGCATCTGCAGTTCTTCGTTTTACTTTAGCCTAATAGAAATCTCCTAAATTTAGGAAACCAAGATGTGGGAATAGTTTTGGTATAGATGGAAATTAGTAAAGGGAAAAATTAATATGCAGGAGTCTTATACAGGCTTCCGAACATAAACACGAAGGTAAGATGGAGCATTAAGGAAGAAATAATGGAGTTTGTCAGAATGGCACAGCGATAATCACAGGAGATTTTAATCTCCAAATAGACCGGGGAAGTCAGATGGGCCAAAGTTGTTTCAATGAGGATTTCAGAATGCTTTTGGGATAAATTCTTAAAACAACATGTTCTGAAGCCATCCAGCCTTGGTTGGTTGTGCAATGAGATAGGATGAATGAATAATCTCATTGTGAAGGCATCCCTACACCTAGCTAACAGTCACCATAACATGATTGATTTTTCCATTCAGTTTGAGAGAAAAAGGAGTGGATCTGAGACCATTTGTTTAAAAATTTAAAAAGGTCAATTATGAGGAATGAAAGAAGAATAGGCTAAAGTGAACTGATACATTCGATTAAAGAATAGTTCAATAGAAATGCAGTGACAGCCAATTAACAGAATACACGAATTAGAATCATTCAGGAGAGTAAAAGAAAAATTCTAAGGAAGAGACTCACTACTGAAATGTTAACTCGAAATATTAAAGATAGCATCAAACTTCAAGAAAAGAAATCATTGTGCAAAGACAGATTTGACAAAAGGCAAAGAATAACTGAAAAATAAATATGGAGGAAAAAATTATAGTAGGGAAAGCTAGTCAGAAGTATAAAAACAGATAGCAAGAATTTCTATAAATATTTTTAAAATAAAAGGCTTGATGAACACTGGTCACATACAAAGTTAGCATGGAGTACTGATAATGGAAAATAAAGGGATGGCAGATAAATTGATTAGGAACTTTGCATCAGACTTCACCATAGAGAATACAAACAACATCACGGAAACAGCTATAAATCAAGAAATTGAAGGGAGGAAGGAACTCAGAAAAATTACAATTGCCAAGAGGTAGATTATTAGCCAAGATCCAAATGAACATGGAGCAGGCTTGATAGGCTGAATCCTGAGTCTTGTGTTGCTAATGCAAGAGTTAGCGATTTATAATGTTTAAACTCCTGCTGTCTCAGTTGTCTCAGTTAAAGTTTACTGAACGAAATTGCAGTTTGTTACCTATCCTGTTTCCTTACATTAGTCTGCTGATTTTAAATAAAGTCATTCACTGATGATTCCTAACTTAACAGGCAATGACTAATGGATATATTAATTATACTAATCATTAATATTTGAAAATAAGCTAATTCTTTCCCACATCTGTACAAATGATCAACTCCTAAAAAACAGTACACCACTTATGTAATATGAATCTCCCGCATCTTAAGTAGTGTTCGGAAAATATGCTGGTTTCTGCTTTAGCTCTCCCTTATTACACTTTCATTGGAGGAGGCAGTAGGAGGATTTATTGTAGGTACTAATAGCAGAATGGTAATACTATTTCTAACAACTATAATCATTCTTGTATTTAGTAATTTCAATATATGGCCCAAATCCAAAAAGCACCTGCCTCATTGCAAATGTCACTAATACCTTGTTGAATAAGGTATTACTTAAAGATCAAAGTATTATTGCACATAAACAAAGACAATGCATTATTTGATTTCAAAAATAAACAGTTTTCAAGCACAAGTTGCAAACTGTCTGATACTGGCTGAACGATGTATTGTAATACAAACATAGGTCTGTGAAAGTTTATAAATAACTTTCTTCTACATTTGTTCTATAAAAACGGAACCTGGTTTAAATTACACAGCTTAATGAAGTGGTGACAGCTTGCAAGGTTTGATTGTTTTTGAACGATCTTGGCTGAAAATATACAATTTAATGTGACTGCTTCTCAAAACTTCAAGAAACACAATTTAACCAAGTGTTAAATATCACAGCAATATTGCAATACTTGCAGCCCAAAAGGTACAGCACTGAATGATACCAGATTTGAATTCAAACTCTAACCTAATGAAAGCCAGTCAACTCTACCAGGAGTCCCCACCTATCCCTCAAACTAGCCCTGGTCAATCCAGCAGTAGCAGATCTCTAAGTTAAAGTGCACAGTAATGACATACAGGGGAGTTAGGATAACAGAAAATAAAAACTTAGTTGAAGATATGGAAATGCATAGAAATAACCAGTAGATACATGATATATTAAAATTCTTAATGTTTACATATTTACTGTTAACATTTTCAATAAAGGATTCCTACATAACAGTTAAACTGCTGACTAAACCTGTTAAACGATACTGCATCCTCTCCTTCCTGGAGTTACTGCAGTGTCACCACTGGTTCAGGTATAATTGAAGCAATACAAGTTTCCACAGCCTGTTTCCATTATAAATGTGGACACAAAGCTTGACAATGGAAATATAAAGACAGAATGCAACGCTTTATAACAGGGGCTTAGTTATTGCTGTGTATCCTGGTCTGATTGTCTCCAATTGTCAAAGTTTTCTTTGATGACTGTGTTGTGTTCGTTCCTCTGTGCAACAACACAGCAGCTTACTTTATTAAAAATATTTGAAGTAGACTAGACAAACTCGAAAAAAGTCAATAAAAAGAAATCACCTGCTGGTAGTCTGCTGTATATCACAATATAATGTAAAACACCATGGAAGTTTTCAGTATGTTTGAACAAATAGAGGCTCATTCATGCTTCATTTTACACAACTCTATCTTAACCGATGAAAAACTGAATTACCTGCACTAAAATGCAATGGACCATGTCCAGATGTAGGTCTGCTGCCTGAGCCAGAAGATCTGGGCAGATCAGGGAGGCTAACCCTTACAGGAGGTGGAGGCGGAGGCAATGACAGAGGAAGGCTGTCAAGTGTACTATTATCACCTGTGGGCAAAAACATACACCAGGTTTAAACCAAACAGGAAGAGGTCACATTGGCATTTGCAGGCTTAAACAAGTCAAAGGGCCTGTGTGACAAGGTATTTAAGAACAACCTCAAATCCAAAATCTACTATGGACAAAACTGGAGATTAGTAGTTAAGTCACTAGAGTGTTCAACAAATACAGTTGCTGATTTTCCACGGAATAAAAAAAAAAGGCTTCTTACAGTACAATACCAGAAATAAATTTCTGTTGAGGAAAATGGAAAAGATCCCATTACAACCAGATTGCAGGGAGACAAATTTCCAAGCATAACCTTCTATCCTGACTCTGTGACGAAATGCGCCTGTGAGAGGGATTTGTTCTATCCTGCTCCTCTTGGAGAGGTGTTGTAAACCAGGTGCCAAGGCACCTGCTCCATGGAATGCAGAGTAAATAGCTTTGGGGTTTTTTTTAGACAAAAGTAGTATGAGGGGGGTGGAATCAGGTCAGACAGTCCCAGAGTTTTAGTTTTGCTTTCAGTTGTTCAAGTTGGAGTTTTGAAATTGAAGCTGCTAGATACAGCTTGTGCTCTCTGCTGCTATGAAAAGTTTGAGTTCTCTCTGCTACTAGATTCATTCTGTCAGTGTTCCTTCTCATGGTCTGGAGGAGATAGCAAGTGAGCAAATCTGTTTTGCTGAATTTCCTTTTGCCAAGAGTGTGTTTACGGGATGCTGCTATATCGGAACAGTTGATGAGGAGTAGTTAAATTAAATATTATTTAGTTAAGTATTTCGATAGAATGAAAAGTTATGCCAATTCTTCTTTTTATGTTTGTATTTTAACTGTGGCACAAGAATAAAGCATGTTATGCTTAAAGCCTAGTAGTTTAACGAAGTGAATCACATCTGGAATGCAGCACCTTACACTTACTTTTAAATAAGATAAAAGTTAGGTTCTAAGGCTGTCTCCTTGATGTTTTGATGTGGTTTGGTCTGGTCCACAACAACTCCCACCCAGAAGTATGCTAAACTGAAGACAAAAACATCCAAATCTCCAGGGCACCTCTTCAAATAGCAAAAGACTGCTCGAATAAAGACATAATACCTATTTTAGACACAAATACAGGAAGAACTGAATGCTGAATATGCAATGCAAGCATGGCTCTGTTTTCACAGTAGTACAGAGGCCATTTGCATCATCGTGCCTGCAAAATTTCTATTACCTAGTGCCAATCTCCTGCTTTTCCTATATCCCTGCACACCATTTCCATCCAAATAATCAGTAAATGAACCAACGGAACCCGCATCTACCACATTTTCCAGGGAGTACATTTCATAACCTAAGTCTACGTGAGAAAAAAGATTTTTCTCAAATCACCTTTTCTTCACATACACATCATTTTTTCTAGTGGTCAAATCTACTCCTTATTAAGGACAACTTCAGATCAAAGAAAAATGTTTTTTTTTTGAAAACTTACCATAATTTGGAGACTGGAAGAGTTGCCTGCTATCACATGCACGCCCACCACAGCACATTTTCATTTGCCTCCCTACCTCCATAATCTATCCATACAATTCTGAGAAGGCCCCAAGAGATAACCTGCATCAGCAAGCTTGAATGGTATCGACAGATTGCAAGTGTTGTGTAGAATTTCTTCCTCAGTGTCTCTCAAAAGTTTTTTCAGGATAAGGAGTAGGTCACTAGGTTCCTGTAGTCTATGCTGCCATTCAATAATGTGATGACTGATGAGTACCCCAGTAACATACAACTACATTTTCCACACATTGTTCTTCCCTCAATTTAAAATTAACAATTCACAAGCATTAACTGCCTCTCATTATTACTCTTGAAAGATCTAGCTGTAATGATCAGGCTATGTAACCTAACCCTAAACACACCAAACAGCAGAAACTCTTTTTCCATCTACCCTATCAAATCCTCGTAATATCGTGAAAACTTCTTTCAAACTGTTCCTTCATTCTCTAAATTTCAAGGAGTACATCCCTATTATATTTTATGTCTTCTTACAATTTAACTCTTGCAGTCCAAGCATTATTCTAGTAAATCTATGTTGCCCTCCCTTCAAAGGTAATCTATCATTACAACCAATATAAAGGTGTAATCCTTAAAGGAGCTGAAACATTATCAAACTTTGACGGAACCCATAATCACTTAAATTGGTGAAGAACAACCCAGCATGATATTGTTTGAAACAAAATGCTGAAAGGAATAATTTTCTCTCTTTCCCCTTTTGCTGATTTGCATTGTCTATATTATTCCAGGAAAATATACTGAGACTGAATTGATATAAATAAATGACAGAAATACTTGTGTTCATGATCATTTGACTGAATTTAGTTGCAGATGCTGCCAGCCACAAAAAGCCAGACAACCTCGTATCCCTTAGTAATTATCAGCATTCTCTGTTTAAACAAGAACATGCAATCAGGAGAACAGACTAAATAAAAAGTGTAAAGACAACGCTCAAACTAATTAGGATTATTATTTCTGGGGCTCCATACGTGCTTCAATGGGGAACTTGACAAGCTACTGATTCAAATTATGAAAGACCCTAATCTGATTCCTGGCCTTTGCACTGCTGGCAGGTCTCAGGCATGAGAGAAATAGGAATGCTATAACTGACTTTAGTGGTGCAGCAGTAGGTAAGGGAAGAAGGAAGGTTCATTAAAGCAGCAAGGTTTTCCCTCCCCTAGTCCCTTCAGTCATCATTAACTGTAAAGGGTGTATGTGACTTGTCTGACCACTGCTTACTTTGTAGTCTCAAGCATTAAAGCAACTGCAAGAATTGAAATGACAGCATGCAAGAAGTGCTAGAAGATTGCCAATTTCTGTGAAATCAAAAAGGACCTTCAAGACAGAAAACTGGGAAGCATACAGTGAATATTTGAGTATGAAAACTGAAAATGCTAGAAAAACTTTGACCAAACCTGTGAGAACTGAAACAGAGTTGATGTATCAAGCTCAATATGACACTGACAGAATTGAAAAGGCTGAAATATGGTGGTTTTTGTGCTATTCTCAGAGGGAGAGGAGCAATGGGAACAGATGGTGAGGGTGCCCAGAGCAAAACACAAAAGGTAATCTTCTGGTGTTTACTCAGAATGTTCAGTTTGTCTTCCTATCAGTCTTCCTCTATTGCTGACCTAAGTTATTTTTTTTTAAGAAATTTGGAAAGTTAGAGGAGTAGGCCATTCAGCCTTTTGAACCTGCTGTGCCATTCAGTACATGATCTGGCTGATCACTGAATTTAGCACCCTGTTCTTGCTTTCTGCCATACCCTTTCATCTCTTTAGCCTAAAGAACTATATCTAACTCCCTCTTCAGAACATTGAATATTCTGATCTCAATCCCTTTCTGTGGAAGAGAATTCCATAGGCTCACCACTCTCTGATGAGGAATTTCTCCTCATCTCTGTCCTAAATGGCTGACTCCATGTCACTAAACACACTACTGACCCTTGGCTCTAGACAGTCTGGTCATCAGGAACATTGTTCCTGCATTTATCCTGTATAGTCCTGTTATAATTTTAGAGGTTCCGCTGAGATCCCCCTTTATTCTTCTGATCCAGTCTCTCCTTTTTTTTGGCTTTGTGCTTGGGTTCCCAAGACTTTTAATTCCCTAGCAATTATAATTTTCCTCAATCATGAGTAGTTTTTAAATCATGCCATGACTACTTTCTTCAAACTATTATAGCACAACCTTGAGTAGGGGAAAAAAATTCCCTGCAATTTGCAAAGCTGGCCTACTAATCAGAACAACTGTATTCCTGGGCCTTGTACAGCTGTGTTTCACAAACATCCAATATGAACAGTAACAGAATGTTACAATAAAATCCTCCAAAACCTAACAGTCCAGCAAGTTAACAAATGAGTAGTTGAATGATAAAGATTAGAAGGAGTCATAGTTTTGTTTTGTTTTTTCAGAAAGGGTCAAAAGTTTGCTCTCCAATCTGTGAACTGATCTCAAGTCAGATGTAAGCAGATAAATCTAAAATTTCCATTAACACTCAAGATAGGTAAAACACCACTGCCACCCACACACAACTACTGAAACCAAACATATGTGAACAGCACTGGAGTGATTAGTGATGCACTCCACTCCAGAAATTCATGCTAACAATCAAAGCTCATGCTGAAGACAGAGATTGACATTATTCATGAATTTGTATCCAGCTGAATGCCAAGGAGAGACGGTGAGGACAGAAACACAAGGGGAATACTTAGTGAGAAAAATAAATTTTAAAAACTTCTTTGTTAAAGATTGCATCAAAAATGACCAAACTTTTAACTGTTCATTTTATTCAAAAATAAAAAATGTAGGTTAACAACTGCTTTGAATGTATTACACTCCAGTACAGTTAATTAGGCTCTCATTTTCTTTTTCAATTAGTTGTAATTATCAAATTTTATGTTTGATTTTGGATCTACAGGATATACACACAATTTGTCTTTTTAAAAAAATTAAATGCTTACATCTTTTCCACAAGATTAATGATTATGATAAAAAATTAACAGTACCTCCATTATGGTAGATGCATAAACGTGACGATAGGTTTTGAAAGGCCACGCTAACTATTCAGGAATCACTGGGGCCACAGTACAGAGGCAAAATATGACCTGAAACCTTTGACAGAAGCAGTACCCTCAGGTCATTGTAAAAATTATCATCCATGCTTAATGCTTTTCTTTCCTTCTCCAAATGTTTATTTTTGCTTCATTTCTTCCATGGCTCTCTCTGACCAAAAGCAAAAATACCCTTGACTTTACTTCTACATTGATGCTTGCAAAGTGCTTTTCCCGTAGTTAATTTCAAATAATTTTGTGAATTTTAATAACTCCAAAAAGATTGTAAATTGCTTGCAAATCCTATCATGTTTAAATTCTAAACTTAAAGTTCTTCCTTTAAACCATGAACATTTAAACCACATCTTTTAAATGTCTGGATTTAACCGTACTATTGTTGTATTTGTTTTAATGGATATTGAAGATAAGTAAGAATGTATTGTAAAAATGTAATGTCAGAAGTGTTTAAATTTTGAACAGATTGACTCAGCCTTTTCTATTCTACAGAATGTTGAGCAGCTGAAGACAGATTTTTGTACCATTTCTTGGTGAAGGAGTTGCTATTTTGCACACACTGGTGTTTTGAATGAGACCAGTAAAGGTTCTTTACAAAGCATTTTGAGTTTTGAATAGTGGAAGGAAAGTTGCATATTTTGTAGCTGTTTAACCTGCACCAGCTTACAACAGGGCAGATACTGCAGTCTTGCAGCCAAGACTGAGAGCTCCACCAATCTCCATCCTACTGATTGAGCCCCACCTGATATCCATGAATGGTTAGTAGTAAGCAATCTCAGGAATCCAAAACTTTCCTTTGTGTTAGGGAGGAGGGCACAGAAGTATTGGACCTCAGGTAACCTGGTCAGGAAATAGACCTTCAAACCTGCACAACCAGAAACAAAAACAGAAATTGCTGGAAAAGCTCAGCAGGTCTGGCACATCTGCAGAGAGAATCAGAGTTAATGTTTCAGGTCAAGTGACCCTCCCTCAGAACCTGCATCACCAGACTGAGGACTGAAAATTCAAGACTACTCTATTGGCAAATTCTTTCCAGCCTGCTCAGTGTGAAAATAAAAAAGTAGATTGGTAAGAGACTGAATCAAATAAGTCTCACAGAATGGTCCATTCAACAGAATGGGAAGTAATTCTGTGCCATTTAATAAATGGATGGCCCATTCAATAACACGAAGATTGCCAATAATCTGAATTTTCTGCCTGTCATACATTCTCAAAAATAAAAATTTACTTAGTCATAATAGGAGTCATAATGTTAAGCTCCTATTATTGCATTGTCATCTTGATTACATACCTGGAGGAGGAACTAGAAGATCATAATCAGAGGGTGTTCTGTTCAGAGAGGAGCAGCTGGGTTTTTGGTTGTCTCTTGCTGGAAGTCGAGCTGGTGGTAAGGGGGCTGCAACAATCGGCATCTCAAAAATGTCATCTGAAAGTAACAAAAGTACATTTTAACTTATTTGCATTTTTACAGAAGTTTTTTCCCCCGTCATTTCCTAAATATTCAATGTCTGACTGGACTATAGTTCCATTGGTCCTAGGAGTTGTCCCCACAGTGACCATTCCTTTTGTAGAAGCCTACACAAAGTACAAGTAGACTACTGAACCCTCAACAGTAACAATGTTGAGCCCAGTCATGTGCTCTTACATCCAACCCATTGCAGTTTTTGTACAGGAAACAGGAAGAAGACCCTGTTCGACTTTCTTGTACACTAGCCCAAGGTTAGTAGGGCTTACTGAATATCACAATTGCTGCTCTGGCTAAAATTTGATAAGTCTGAAGACTGAACACAACCTATATAGCTTACTGCCATACAATCATGTCAGACATGTTTTCTCTGAAAAATATATGTTTTTGAAGAACAGAACATGATAAACAATTCTCATGTAGCAGTTACAAACTTTGGAGAAAACAGAGAACAATTTTCCTTGATAACAAGGTGTAGAGCTGGATGAACACAGCAGGCCAAGCAGCATCATAGGAGCAGGAAGGCTGACGTTTCGGGCCTAGACCCTTCATCAGAAATGGTTTTTCCTTAACAATTTTCCTTAATATGCAAGTGTAAAGAGAGAAAGGCATAAGTTCCAAAGTTTCGTTGTTGAATACCACTACAATGGCCAATCAGAATTTTCCACTAGGATCATATTTCTGAAAGCAATTATTTGGTCAGTGTTATGATAATAAGGCTCTATCAATAAACATAATCTAAACCACACAGCTAGTGGAGGAACTAGGAAGTGATAATCACAGGGCATTCTGTCAGAAAGGAATAATTTCTTGGATCAGGGATTTAAAATGAGCAACTTCTAAATTTATTTTAGACAATAAAAGGGCACTGAAAGATCAGCAGGCAAAAATGACTGTCGTAAGATTGATTCCAAGAACAAATAAACTATAATAAACATTAAACAACAATGCGCATTTTAGAGCTCCTTTAATGTTGCAAAATGTACATTGACATGAGCATTATCAACACAATTTGATATTAAGACACATGAGGAGATTTTAAGGTAGATGACCAATTGCTTGGTCAAAGAGTTAGGTCTTGAAAAGCATCCTAAAGGAGGAGAGGGTGGTGGAGTGCCTTTAGATGAGGTATTTCCAGAACTTAAGAGTATGGCAGCTGAAAGGATAGCGGTCAAATGCTGGTAGGGCTATAGAAGGTTTATTAAACATCAGTAGTTTGACATAATTCTTCCAGTTGGTGCACGGTAGAAGTATCAATAATTTTTATTCAAGGAATGTGCTTGATGCTGGCAACTGTTGCCCATTCCTAACTGCCCTTAAACTCAGGGGCTTGATACACGATTTCAGAGGGTAGTTAGGTTAGACTGGATAAGGATGGTATATTTCCTTCCCTATATGACATTAATGAACCAGATGGGCCATTATCATTGAGGACAGCTTTATGATCACAATGTCTGAGACTAGTTTTCAATTCCAGATATTCTTAAAATAACAATTATCTTATTACAAATGAATGATTCTATGATAAAACATTCATCATTTTTAATTGTGATAGGTATTAATATTACAAGCAATAATTAAGAACAGGTGGTGTGATATTTCCTTTTTAAGTGAAACCAAATACAAGGATCACATCTTCAGGAGAGGCAAGCTATACTCACTGTATTTAGAGGCTTTTATTTTACAGCTAATAATTGTTTATTTCAATTTATTTTCTTAAAATAAATTTCAATATAAAAAGGAAAAATCAAATCTATTTTACCTATTTCCAGTGCCTTAGGTTTCTTTGCTTCTGATGTGTTGTTGTGTATTCCATTAGCACACTGTCCATTTTCAATCACTCTGAAACGTTAAACAGAAGAAAACGGTAAACTGGAGAAAGTTACAGGAATTGGGAGAGTGAGACATTGGGAAATCAGAAGCCAATAAGTCAATGAGCACAGTGAGGACTGAGAAGGTTAATTCCCTTTCAGAATGTAAAATATGCAGGAGCGAATGTAAATGGATTTATATACTGTCCTCTCAACTCAGTGCGAGTTCAGATTTGTTGGGAAATGGCACACTTTATCTACTTATGGTAAAGTAAAATGAACATTTTGGTCAACACTACCCTTTCAAAATAATTCATTTCCTAGCACTCTTTCAGTAAATACCAGATAATATTCTGCAAATATGATTCAAGTTAAAATCTATGATTTTTTAAAAATATAAACAAGCTTTCAGAATAAGTCAACAATAAGTTTTATTTAAGCCTTTTAAACATTCATATGAAAATATATACATTAATTATCTACTATTTGGGCATATACACTACCCAAAGTGAATTCAAGTCAAAACTAGATCTATCTTATGCACTACACTGCAATAGTTTAAGGGCATGTGATGTTGATTTCTGCTTTAGTTGCATTTTTGATTGGGGATTTAAAAAATAAATTTTATACTGAAGTATCACTGATGCAGCGCACATTTACGCTGGAGTCATATACTGAATTGATCTAAACCTTGGCTTAGTAGGAAATCATTTCAATAAAGTCCTGTAAGTCCAACATCAAAGTACTTCCATCCAGAAATTTCATGATGCATATGCCACAAAGAAAATTTTAAATGTTTTAATTTTTTAAGAAGAGTTATTAATACCAAAATGAAATGCACTTGTCATAGTTTTAAGTTAATGATACTCACTGTTAACACAAAGTCTCACACAGTCAGCTGCAAACCAAAAGTAAACCTGCTGGGATTCACCAAAACTGATGGAAAGAAGTCTGAGTTAAAAACTTACCAGTAGGTCCAGTCTTAAGGAAACATAAAAGCACAAATATATAAGGCTGCGAAAAACTAAACAGCAGACACATTGACAAAGTCTAGACAATTCTTTGTTCAAAAATGTAGAGAACTTTGTTAATGTATTTCATAGTTGTAACTTGTTCTAACGTAATACTTATGATCAAAACTGCAACTCAAATTTCATTTGTCCAATTTGAAGTGGGGGTAGCCATTAAGTAAATGTCCACAATGAAAATATCACAATAATGAAAGTAGTCAATTATTCAAATCAGACTTTAAATTAATTGATTAAGGTTACATTTCCTCTCCTAGAGTTGCAATGTAGACGTGAATTCCAGTTTGGTTAACACTGAAAGGAACTCAACAGCCTTCTAGCATGAGAGGAAGAGCCCACCAGCGACCATCAGATTACTGAAATAACAAGTTTGTGTTCTAAGCGCAAAATGTTCACAAATCCATCATGATAAAGGGCAAAACCTAAAGCACAACAGAGAGAAAACTACTAGTCAAAATAAGTGAAGTAACACACTTGGTTGTAACTTAAAGGATAATGATCATGTGGGTGAGGTGACAGTGACCCTTGGAATTACACCTCAGCATCACCAAACTGAAGGTATTTAAGTGTTTAAAATGTAGCTTTATATTTTAAACACAAACCATTGATTTGTAGCCTGTTAAAATTAACATTCATGTTTATCTCTAATGAACTTGTTATCTTAGAATCTAGACAGTGCATACAGTATTGATCAAGCTTTTGATGCAAGCTAAAAGTTATTTTTTTAAAAGTACATATATACCAGTATTGTACTACAGAAAAGTAGAAATTATAACAATCATCTTGTGATGCAATGAAATCAGACAAGTCTAACCAAAAACAGGAAACTTACTTTGATGCACGTGGCTTCACAGCTTGCAAATGGGAAGTTTGCACAGGTATGGACACTGGATATGATGATGGAATCTTGTATTCATCTTCATGAACCTCATTAAGCCCTCTTTGAATTTCTGAGTTTGGCTGTTGATATCTACAAAAGTAAACCTTTGATAAATAGAATGATTCAATGCAAAGAAGTTCCCCATCAGAGAGCTTTACATAACACATTGCTCCTGATTTCAAACAGCTGTCACCATAATTGACAGCAGCCCTGCTAAATGGAAGAAAGAATTTTGCAGTAGCATAATTACACAGTTCATAAACTCTGCAATTTAGTTCCCACTTGCATTAAAACCTTCCACACAATGGTTTTCATTTTAATTACATTGCCAGCATGCTAAATTTGGCTACTTTAAATTAAAGCTTCATAAGAGGTAACTCATAGATAAAATGACAATTATCTATTTTTGGTGACCACAGAAGTTTGAAGATTTATTTAATATGGCTGCAGTCATTGGTAAGCCACAAATTCAGAGGATTATCTCTGTCGACTGGTTACCACTGTCATACAAAATGCTGATGTGCAACATCGTTTGATTGCGAAGATGCAAAATTCTTGACTTTCTGCAAAGAATTGTTAACAAGGGATTATACAAAATCCTGAAAACAAAATTCCTAAAAAAGAAAGACAAACAAAATGGTGAATCTTCATTGGACTGCCCTTGCTCATTTCCTTTAGCTGATATAATAGCTGTTGTGATTAACGAAAGACCTATCCACATTCCACCTTTTTAACTTAAGGATGTTTGTTATGAAAATCAGTTGGAAAAAAGCCAGATGGGGAATAGTAAAACTAGCCTAAAATAAGCCTTTCAGAATTGCGAATGTAAGCCTCAACTTTGGCATTATGTTAACCAATAGAACGCAAAATTAAAATTAAAAGAATTAAACTTCACAGATCTCTAACCTCTCTTGATTGTCCGAGATCATACACCATCTTGCAAATAAAAAGAAATTGTAAATGATTGCAACTTCAAATTGTTGCAGACAATGGGCTTACGGGAGCGGTTTACCTTCATCACTCATTTTCTTTTTAGGACTACACATTGCTATTAAAGAAGCAAAGGTTAAAAACTAACTGTATTAGGCAGTGAGTTTAACATGGATATTCTATCCATCAGCATGGCTTTTAAGTACAAATTCATTTATGGATAGTTATTATGAGTGATGAATAAATTTGTAAGTGCTCTAGTATGATAATCATTTCCTCTCAACAGCGAGTTTAATTTTGACAGTGATTGTTCTTCAGTTGATTTTTTCCAATGAAAACTAAAAACTGAAATAATGGATTTAGGAGACTTTGCAGCAAAAAATTGAACTAATTTATTCAATTGTTGTTTATACATTTCTTAACGATTATGATTTTGACCTTGCCCTTAAAGCATTATGTACAAACAAAAATACTACCATATAAGCAAATTGTTCAATGATTTCCTGGAACAGAACAGTGACCTTATATGCAATATGTTGTAAACTTCATTTTGCAAACAAAAAAAATCCTGTCCAAGGACATGTTTTACCTTTCAGGGGAAGGAGCAGCAGTAGGAACAAGTAATTATTAAGGACCTTTAGAAATTAAACATACCTAAGTGTTTCACAGAGTCAAAGTAAAGTTTGATATCAAGCTACACAGGAAATACTAGTACACATAAGGCAGATTTTATGGCATTTGTTGAAGATGGAGGGAACAATGGAGAGATTTAGAGAGGGAATTACAGAATTTAAAGCCCATACATCTGAAGGAATGGCAACCAGTGGTGGAGCAATTAAAATCAGAAACGCTCATGTGGCCAGAATTAAAGGAATGTAAATATTTTGGTCAGCTGCAGAACTGGAGCAGATTACAGAGATAGGGAAGAGCAAGGCCAAGGAAAGACGTAAACAAGGATGTGAATTTCAAAATCAACATGTATCTTAACTGGAAATCAATGTACATCAATCAGCACTATCGTTAGCATTACAACCAAAGTAACCTTTCATCTATGTGCATGCCTGCACAGTGAAGACTGTTAACACTGTTCAAAAAGAACAGCCATCAGCAAGCCTGATTCCGATAACATTAAATGGCGTTCCAGTAGAGGTGACAAAATCATAATCAGGAATACCACTTGACCCTTGTCCTACCATGACACCGATATCAACACTAATAATCATTGTAGACAAGTAATTGAACTGAACACATTTCTAGTTAGTACAGCAGGATCACATTGAGAGAATAATTCCATTACTACTGGGATTAAATGAACATTAATAATTTTAGTAAAAGATCATGCTCCAAGTTTCCCCAATCTTTACACTTCTAATAATTAGCTGGATTTAGGATTACTAAACTACTATAAAGCCACCAAGACTCTGTGTTGGTGTATCCAATCATACAACATAGTCATTTTTCATTAAAATTAACATCAACTCACTTTGTGTTGTTGGAAAATGCTGTAATTGTTGGAGGAGGAGGAGACTGGCGTGGTGGAGGTATATCGTATTCATCAGTCCTCAGAAGTCCATTGGTGACTGTCTGTTAAAACAGTGAACAAATTATTGTTTACTGCAGAAAAACTTCAACGTCTGCCATCTAAAAAGTTTTGAAACAGGCATTTTGACTTTCCCAGCAATTCATATATCTTTAATAATTACACAATCATGCAGTAGTGAACAGTGCATGTATAAAACTTACCCACTTATATTTATTGATTCACATTAATGAGTGACCTTGAATGAAAACTCTAACCACATAGGATGACCAGGATCAATGGCCTATTTAAAGACAGCTGTCTAAAAGCTTCTGAATCACATAAAGCCATATGCTTTTCTTCTATCTGAAGTTTTTTCTTCCATGTTGTAATCAAGACTGGCTGAGCAATTTGACAATGCAACGATAACAAGTACAAAGGCAATGACCAGAGACAAAAAATCAAAATTGCAGATAACATGACTGCTGAATAAGCATTAAAATCAGACCATGGACATAACAACATTAACTGTACACACAGGAAGAGTATAGTTCCAAATGAAAAAAAAATCCTAATTCTACACCATGTAATCTGCCACAATATGATCTAGACTGTACATCACGGCTTGATGAAAACCTGAAGACGTTGCAAATTTAAACACAGCAATTAGGTCACTATTGTTAATCCATTGCTGAGGTGTAAGACTATGGTTTATCACCGACTTCATGTGAGTTCGCTGCAAACAGATGTAGCACCTCTCCAAAATTCATGATAGCTCTATGGTTAAAATTCTTGCAGAAAGCAGATTTTACACTTTAAATCACACTACTAGAAAGTAAGCACTGCAATGCGAGGAACCTATACAACCTAAAAGAAAGGTACCAGTCTTGATAGTAACGACCAGAAAACAAACCAATCCCAATGCTTACACCTGTTTCTTTCACTTAATATCATGATTTCTGAGCCACAATAATACCAGAAATGTCTGAGTACTTACTTCCCTTTGCATTGGCTTAGGGCTTAGATTTCATTTGTATTGCTAAGTTTCCATCGTATATCTGAGCTTTCCCTGTATAAATCTGCTAAACTAAATGTTTCCTCAGGTAATGTTTCTGGAAGGGTTAATGTTAGAGGCTACATTACCCTCCATCCAATCCGATGATGTCATGGAGTATTGCATGGGGAAATCAGGAGAATAACTATAGATCAAGAAGGGGACAGATGTGACCTCTATCTCCCCCAACAGCCTTAATAACAATGTCTAAGTAGCTAATGTTAGGACTCACCAGTGATTGTTCTTCTACCACTGAAACCAAATAGGCCCTTGGATCCAGTCAAGGAAAAAGAGGAATGGTACGGCATCCTTCTACATACAAACTGATAGGTCAATCAGTGGTCACTGTCGTTGCTTAATAGCACAAGGTGCAAAAGTGAAAAAAATCCATTGGACCCTGGAAAGAAATTTCCAGAGGATCAAGTGCATTTACAGTTGAAAGACCTTACTGCTTTAAGGAATGCTCACAAATGTCAGACTGCAAGCACTTGAACAAATAGGCAACGAGCAGGAACATTTGGAAACAGCCACGGTTTAATCTACTGGAGACAGGTTGATCAAAAATTAAAAGTTTAGCCCAATGACAAATGTGTATCCATTGCTAAAAATCCATGTGTCACTAATATCCTTTAAGGAAAGAATTTGATATCTTCACCTGATCTAGTCTATATATGACTCCAGACGCACAATGAGATTGACTCTTAACTGCCCCTGGGCAATTATGGATAGGCAATAAATGCCTTTTGGAAAACTTGCTTATTAAAGTGAGATCAGAAAACTTAGTTTTTTTTTGAGCAAGCTATGGAAGACCCAAGGAAGTGCAATCAGATAAACGGTCAATTTAATGCCGCAATTATTGAAAAAAAAAGTGTCTTGGAATAAAACAATTTATATCTTCAGCTTATCACCAGCAATCTCAAAGTGCATTGGAAACAGAGCATCAAACTTTGAAAATCATGATTAAAGCTTATTGTCAAGGTCATAGAGATGTACAGCACAGAAACAGACCGTTTGGTCCAACTAGCCATGCTGACGAGATATCCTAGAGAAATCTAGTCCCAATTGCCAGCATATAGCTCATATCCCTCTAAACCCTTCCTATTCATATACCCATCCTGATGCCTTTTAAATGTTGTCATTGTACCAGCCTTCACCACTTCCTCTGGCAGCTCATTCCATACACGCACTATCCTGTGTGAGAAAGTTGTCCCTTAGGTCCCTTTTAAATCTTTCCCCTCTCACCTTAAACCTAAACCTCTAGTTTTTGACTCACCCACCCCACGGAAAAGACCGTGTCTATTTACCCCATCCATGCCCCTCATAATTTAATAAACCTCTACAAGGTCACCCCTCAGCCTTCGATGCTCTCGGGAATATAGCCCCAGCCTATTCACCTTCTCCCTATGGCTTAAACCTTCCAACCCTAGCAACATCCTTGTAAATCTTTTCTCAATCGTTTCAAGTTTCCTATAGCAGAGTGACCAGAATTGAACACAGTATTCCAAAAGTGGCCTAGCCAATGTTCTGTACAGCCACAACATGATCTCCCAGCTCCTCTACTCAATGCACTCACCAATAAAGGCAAGCACACCAAATGCTTGATTTGGATAGTGGTGTCCTTTGTCAGAGAGTCAGAGTCATAAAGCATGCAAACAGATCCTTCAGTCCAACCAGTCCACACTGATCATGTTCCCAAGCTAAAGTGGTCCCACTTGCTTGTGCTTGGCCCATATCCTTCCAAACCTTTGCCATTCATGATCTTATCTAAATGTCTTTTAAACATTGTAACTGTACTGCCATCCACCACTTCCTCTGGAGTTCATTCCACACACGAACCACTGTGTAAAAAAAGTTGCCTCATGTCTTCTTTTCAATATTTCTCCTCTCACCTTAAAAATATGCCATAATCCCCTAGTTTTGAACTCTCCCACCCCAGGGAAAAAATCCTCGTCATTCACCTCATGTATCCCCCTCATGACCTTATAAACCTACTACATGCCAGTGAAAATAGTCCCAGTCTTTCCATGTAATGAAAATAGCAAATACTGGAGAAAGGCAGCACTTCTAAAAATAAAAACTGAAAGAACTGTGGATGCTGTAAATCAGGAACAAAAACAAAGTTGCTGGAAAAGCCCACCAGGTCTGGCAGCATCTGTGAAGGACAAAACAGAGTTAACATTTCGGGTCCAGTGACCTTTCCTCAGAACTGGGGAGTTCTGGGCAGTTCCGAGGAAGGGTCACCGGACCCGAAATGTTAACTCTGTTTTATCCTTCACAGATGCTGTCAGACCTGCTGGGCTTTTCCAGCAACTTTGTTTTTGTTCCAGCACTTCTAGCAGTTGCGTTAACGTTTTAAGTCGATGTGACTTCTTCAGAACAGAGTTTTCTCTTGTGTTTCAATAGTGTGGAATGATTAGGGATGTTCTTATGGACATATGGTGAGGGGACCATTTAAAGTTTCCAGCCTATATTTTGAATTTCAGGGAGAAACTGACCAAAGCCTGTGACTTGCCTAAGAAGTATCTGAAGGATCCTCAATAAACAAAGAAAACTACAGCAGATACAAAGGCCAAAGTTTGAAATGTTGCTGCTGGAGGCAAGGTGTTGGTGTTGTTCACTGTCTTTGGGGAACTATTAAACACAAAGTTCACTGAATCTTATCAAATCATAAAGAAACTCAAATGATATTAATGATGTGGCGAGTACACTATATAGGAGAAAAAAATCAGTAAGTGTGTCACGTTAATTCTTAAAGAGACATTATGACGGATGATAGGAAATACGTATACTCTGGTGATGAAAGTACAAGGGAGTGAAATAGAAATATCAGAATTGGAGAATGAATCAGAAATTAAAAGTCCTAAAGTTGACCCTCCAGCACTCAGATTGGATTACACAGAGGTGCTTAAAAGATTAGACAGCATTATACCTTCGTTTCCAGAAACTAAAAAATTAACTCACGAAGACTATTATAGAATCACAAATAAAGTTATGGGAATAGGCTGGAAAAGCATTTTAGCAGTTTATGTTAATATGCGGGATGCTTTATTTATGCTTTAACACTCTCATATACTCAATCTAGACAGATTGGCTCCAGTGATGGAAGAGCTTCAGTTCATGATGGATAATGACATTATTGAACCAAACAGCAGTTGGGGCTCACCTATTGTCACACTGCTGAAAGTAGACCGGTCACAAAAATTTTGCATTGATTATCAAAGTCAAATGGGTACAAAAGCAGACTCACATTCACTTCCAAGACTGGAGCAAATTAGACATGCACGATTTGTCACAAAAATTGACTTGCTAAATGGATCTTGACAAGCTCTATTGACTGACAAAGCCAAAGATATATCAACATTTGTAACTAGAGGGACTTAATCAATGCAAAATCATATCATCTGGAATGAAAAATGCACCAACATTCCAACAATTAACCAATAAAGGTATTGAAGGACTGTGTAACTGTTGTTTAGATTAATGATTTGGCTATTTTTAGTCAAATCTAGGAAGAATATTTACTTCACTTGACTGAACTATTTGATTAATTACATAAAGCCAATTTGGTTCGGAGGAAGGGTCACTTGACCCAAAATGTTAACTCTGCTTTCTCTCCACAGATACTACCAGATCTGTTGAGCTTTTCCAGCAACTTGTTTTTGTTTCTGATTTACAGCATCTACAGTTTTATCAATTTTTATCTTGATTATAAATCTGGCTAAGAATGAATTTGCTAAAGCAAAAGTGACTTATTTAGGTGAAGGCCAAATATCTCCTAGGGAAGTGATAATGAGGGCTATTTTACATTTTTCTGTCCTGGACAAAATGTGAAGTGTTGCATTATGTTTGCACGAGTGGATTTTATTACAACTTGTCCCGAATCTCATCAATGCTGCTGCACCTTTAAAAAATATATTGAAGCAAGGTAGAGTATTTGAATTTTTGTAGATTGTTTGAGTGACTCTGAAGACTTAAAAGCTGTGCTAACAATTGCTAAAACAAAAGAAATCTGCTACAGATGCTGTAAATGTGAAATGAAAATTGGAAGTACTGGAGAAAGGCAGCACTTCTAGCAGTTGAATTAACGTTTCAAGTCGATATGACTTCTTCAGAACAGAGTTTTCTCTTGTGTTCAATAGTGTGAAATGATTATGTTAGGATAGATGGGATGGTATTTTTAATATGTATTTCAGAATCTTTCAAATTGTTATTTGTAAATAGCTATTTTATCTTTCCTTTTGCAGGATAAGCTCCTACCTTATTGTTAATACCAAATCTGCAGTTTTGCAGTTTGCGTTTCAGTGAAAAACCACCTCAATGATAAAAATGCAACGATATATCAAGGTAGACTTCAGTCTGGAGTTTGACTTGTTCAGGTAACATTATCTGCTGGGATCACAACACTCTTTCACCACTCCAATACTCTCTAGGTGTAACTCGAAAGCATGGAAAAATTAATTCATAAAGAAAGTATATTGTGTTGGACCACAGGGGACTTAAACTGCAGTAAGGCTATATAATGATTTACATCGAAAATAGGAGAAGGCTCTTTACCCCTTTGATCCTGCTCCACTATTTAACATGATCATGGCTGATCACCCAACTCAGTACCCTGCTCTTGCTTTCAACACAATATATTTGATCCCTTTAGCTCTAAGAATTATAAATTCTTTCTTGAAAACATTCACTGTTTTGGCCTCAATTGCTTTCTGTGACTGAGAATTCCACAGTTTCAACACTCTAGGTGAAGAAATTTCTTCTCAGCACAGTTCTAAATGGCCTATCCTTGGATTACGACCCTAGGTTCTGGACTTCCCAGTCATCAGAAACATCCTTCCTGCATTTACCCCGTCTAGTCTAGTTACAATTTAGGTTTCTGTGACAGCGCCACTCATTCTTCTAAACTCCAGGCAATACAGTCCTAATCAATCCAGTCTCTCTTTGTAAGTCAGTCTGACCATTCTAGGAATCAGTCTGCTAAACCTTCAGTGCACTCCCTCCATGGCCAGAACATCCTTCCTCAGATAAAGAGATCAAAATTGCACACAATATAACAGGCGTGGTCTCACCAAGGCTCTATAAAATTGCAACAAGGCATACTCAAATCCTCTTTCTATCAAGGCCAACATACTTCTTCACCGCCTGCTGTATCTGTATGCTTACTTTCAGCAATTGGTGAACAAGAACACCCAGGTTTTGTGGTACCTCCCCCTTTCTCAATCTATCTACCATTCAACTTGTTTTTGTGAAAGTGGATACCTCACATTTATCGAAATTATACCTTATCTGCCACGCATTTGCCCACTCATTCAATTTGTCCAGATCACAGCATCTCCACTTAACCTTCATAATTCACACCCCCAAACCAGCTTTGTGTTGACTGCAAACTTGGAGGTATTACATTTAGAACTCCCCCACCCCCACCCCAAAGCCCAAGCACTGATCTTTCAGATACCCCACTAGTCACTGGTTGCCACTCAGAAAAAGATCCCTTTATTCCCACTGTTTCCTGTCCGCCAACCAATTCTCTATCCATCTGTACATTACTCCTCAATTCCGTGCACTTTAATTTTATATGCAAATCTCTTATGTAGGATCTTATCAACAGCTTTCTAAAGTCTAAATAAACTACATCCACTAGCTTCCTCATATCAACTCTACTTGTTGCAACCTTTAAAAATTCCAGTAGACTTGTCAAACCTGATTTCCCTTTTCTAAATCCAACCTGATTCTGTCCAATCTTTTCACTGTTTTCTCTGCTCTGCTCTTAAATCTTTTATAATAGACCATAGCATTTTTCCTACAATCGATGTTAGGCATACAACTATATAACTCACTGTTTTCTCTCTACCTCCTTTTTTAAATAACAGAGTTAACTGAGCTAATTTCCAAGCTTAAGGAACTGTTTCAGAGTCTACAGAGTCTTGAAAGATGAGCATCGATGTATGCTATTTCTAGGGATACTTGAAGTGCTCTGGGATGTAGATTATTGGGCCTGGAGCATTTATTAGCCTGTAATCCCATCAATTTCCCTAACACCGTTTCCCTACTAATAATGATTTCCTTCAGTTTCTTCCTATCACCGGCCCCTGTATTCCCTAACATGTTTTGGATGTTGTTGTTGTCCTCCTTTGTGAGGGCAAGAGGAAAATATATATTTAATTGGTCTGCC